ATAAGTTATTGGTATTCGCCATATTGAACTGATTACTTGGTATTGGGCATCTGTCAAATCCTGTATATTTAATATAGTAAAATATGACTGAATCAAATAATCCGTAGTTGCAACCCAATATACATATAACAAACAAGCATGAGGTAAATTATCAACTTATAACTCTTATAAGCTATTCTCAGACACATTTCGAGAGCAGCCTGAATTTTTCCAATGTAAATCAGACCCTTTACCACTAAAGAGCGGCTGTGCTATCCCTCCATCGTGCACCGTGTGGTCCTCAGTAATTCCCCAAGTCAAACACCAGTCAGCCGATCTGGTGCTCACTCCAAATGATGCCCTCCTTCACGGCTCGTTGCGAGCTCCACATTCCTCCAACGGCCTTTGAACATCGCATCAGGACTCTCCGCATTTCCACGTCTGGAAAACACCACTCACTACTACCAGCCTCACCTTCCAGCGGAGCGAATCAAACAAACAGTGAATCAATCTGCGCCGACTTTCTGCCCAGTGGCATCATTAGTGTGGTTTATTTGCTCACCGAGTTGTTTCTAAAAGCAGAAGCGGGCGGGCGGCTGCGTTCTCTGGTGGCTGATGTCACTGCGCCGCAGTCTCACTCCGCTGTTTATTTGGAAGTCATTAGTGGTGTCCGGCCCGGGCCCTCTACGCGCACCGCTGACGCAAAATCAGTGATCTAATTATTAGCAAGAAGTCCATCACAGGAGCAAAGTCTTTGGTAAGCGGCTGGCGGACTAAAGGCTCGGTAGGTAACAAACTTTTACCTTGAGAATAAAGAGGAGGACAAAGTGCTTTAAAAACCCTAAAACGGTGATATGACGCTCATATTGGCCAAAAAAGTTCTACGTTTTTTATTTCAGTGACACTTTATCACCTCAAACTCCGAGAAAAGAGGTACAACGGAATAGACTAAAGAGATCCATTGTAATTTTTTGTCAAAGCCTCATGTAGCTGCAACAGAGGGGCAGAGGAGCCGCGGGTTCAGGGTGCCCATAAATGAAATTAAATCACAAAATGGGAAGTGCAAGATAACGGAAACAACTTTGGATTAATAGAATGAACCGCTTTTGCTCTTTACTTACTTTTCTTTCTTTGCAACAAAAGGATCCCATTGTTACGGGGAGTAACAAACCTTTTGAACGCACTATAAAGGGTAGCTGATTAGACAGATGCTTCACTGACACGTTTGAGAACTACAAATGCAAAGTTGCTTGCATGTAGATATTAAGCTGCACTAACTGTGTGTAACCACAGTTGCAGAACCTTTACTGCGATATATTCCCAGGAGCAAATAGTGATAATGAATCCATCAATGGTTTTGACGTTGAATCTACATTGTCTTTGTCTTTTACAGGAAGTGAATGTGTTTATAGGGATGTATTGATGCCACATTTGTCAGACCAAGTACAATTACTTACACAAAAGTAGAGTACTTAATAATACTACTACCGTGCAATACCAAGCACTCTGAATATGGTGAGATATTTATTGTGAAAACACATCAGTCGGAGCCGTCAGGGGTCTGAGGCCTGGACGTGTGCAGACGAACACACAGAAGACGTGGCAGGGACGGGAGTCATCTGAGCGCTTTGTCCAGATCTCACAAAGCAGATTCAGTTTTGAACTCCAGACACACTGACGTGGTGAAAAAGACATGAACTCCTAATTCATTCGTTCCGTTGGTGGAGTAAGTATGTACAGTAACCCCTGACCTTCGATTACCTTTGATATTGTGCAAAGGGGATTATGGAATATGTCGTAGCTGCAACTACATCCCCCCCCAAAAAAGCCTCTAAAATTCTGACGCTTGCCACTCACCATCACTGGAAAACACAAGCCATTGACACGCGCGGTCTATGTTCTCCAGCCACAATCTGAGAAGAACCAATACCAGTAAAGTGAAACTGATGTTGATTCTTCTCGGTTGTGAAGGGAGACTACTGCTGATGCAAGCAGCTGGAATGCTGCAGACTATTTTCTGCAACATTTCATTTGGAAATTAAAATATACAATGTTTGGTCACATCATTTTGAAGATAAAAAAAATGTAACGTTAGAAACTTGACGGTATGTCATTTAACTCATTTTAAAACACTAACAATCATGATTAAACTACTCTTGTTGTTATGACTGGCGAGAAAAATGGGAAAAATCTTCAGCTTGCAGTGAATTCATGTTACGAGCTATAAAGCAGACAGATGAAGGGAATCGGTCTGCTCACTCGTTCCTACGTCTCATTCTGTCCCGGTTGAGAGTGAGACGGGAGGAACTGGGGGGCTTTGGGTTCATCACTGAACCTCCGAAAAGGGTCGTCTTCTTTCTGACCTCGGCCGGATTTGTTTCCCAAAGAAGGAAATGATTGCAACCTCCACTGCACTTGGGTCATGAGCTAAACTTGAGGAGCCAAACTACAAAGAGCTTAATCTATTTATAGGAAAACACCGCTACAGGACAGTGATCTGGGGGGAAAGGAACCCTGCGAGACGGAAAGACAGTCGGACGCCAAGGACACGCGCCAACGGTCAGCCTCAACAAGGAGCCGTGCCCTTAAGAACTTACGTCCGTGTTCCCTGCCTCTACGGAAATATTCAACTATCCCATTACTTTTTACACTTTCAATGTTGCCCTTCGTTATGAGTAAGAAACGCAGCACCTACAAATCTGTCTCCTGCAATAACATTAGCAGGTATTTTAAGCACAAGTCACATTTGGATGTCTCACATTAGAGGGAAAAAACTGAAATTGGAACCGACAAAAAAGAGCTTGCATTAATGCAGAGTTATTGTTGTAATAATAAGGATACAAAAGCTACGTTCCTCAGACTGGATGAACTACTGGGGAGAGCGCTGCGTTTTTATGGCCCACAGCTCCATTGTCTTGGTCGTGTGCGAGGCAGAGTCTTTACTTTACCGCTGTGTAGGACGGACGGACCGACCACCAACCGGGGGACGAACCCAGAACAAGCTTTAATAAGCTGCCCAGACAGAACGGTGGCGAAGAGGCAATGAGGCGCGTATAGGCCAACTATATTCCTGTAAATTAAGCAAAAGCATTTTGACAGCCTGACACGGCTGTATAGTGAATGTGAATAGAAAGCTATTGTTTTTTTAGTTGTTAGTTCAGTTTTCTTATCTGATGAGGAGATGCTGTTCTACTGACAACATGCAGAGTTAAACACAAACAAAGTTTAAAAAGAGAAAGATTACTCTGACGCGAGGGCTCTATTCTAGCCCACGTTTCATTGGAAGAAATACATAAACGTATTTTGGAGTGTGCGCAAAGCCAGATACTCTCCCTCGTCAAATCTTGTGAGTTTCTCCGGAGAACCCTAAATCATGCTTAAGGAACGTGGGGTCCACACCAGCAGTCACCACACCTGTGTGATACGTCACTCTCCATCCTGAGAAACCCAGACGCCTCCCATAACAGCACGGCAGGGTGCAGAAGAGACACGGACGTGGAGGAAACTGAAAAGGGGTTTATAAAAAGGAAAATACTGTAGAAAACGAGCCGAGGGAGAGCAGGGGGTCAGATGAGAAATGAGAGGGGGGGAGGGGGGCATCAAAGGCCCCTTAAAAGGAAAGTAGCAGAGGGAGGTAAAGCAAACCTGTGGAAGGCCAGAGCCCCGTGGGCCCCGTGAGTCATTGTCAGCAGGCCTTATGAACCTGACGTTAGGCCATAAATCGCGGAGAGGCCGTGAGGAAACTCTGGTTCTACACTTTATCAACACTGCGCCACAAATATCTTTTGTAGTGAACAAAACGCAGTGTGTGTATCTGAGAGTGGCTCCATCGTTTGAGCGAAACACCAAGTTGGGCTTTCCTTAACCAGCAGCAGACTTCTACAAATGTCTTCGGTTTGTATTTCACCAAATGGAGCCAACAACAATACCCAAAGGTGGCCTGGATATCTTGGGCCATTACAGAAAAAGAAGAGAAGCTGAGTTCCCATCAGATATATCTTTCAGAGTTATGTGGGCTCTAAACTCGCGAGCAGCAACAAGCCATTGTTTCCGGGGAAACAGACATTTGCCTTCTCTCGCTTACTCGCAGTACCGTCGCCCATTCAGGTTCCTATTATCGGAAACACTGACATCAAGCTGAAGGAACGAGAAGAAAAAAGAAAAAAAAACACGCCGGTGGGAGCGTTGGAGCAGTGATCCGTCTACTTCGATACGGTAACGGGAGAGCGCGGCTAAAGACCATCCGCCCTCCCTTTTCTCTTCTCTTCCATTCTCCCATCAGCGTCGACAGAAACATCTGCCGTTCCTTCCCAGCACGAGGGACGGCCGCTTGTTTCCGTGCAGAGATCAATTGGTTATCCAACCCGGTGGGCTTGTTTGGGTACGACGGCTCAGACAGGATATTACCAGACAGTACAACGCCTTCGTTTCCCACCGAGAGGCTGGGAAGCAAGTGAGAAAAAGACAATAACAGCCTGTGCTGTAGGTGTGTGGGAACAAACACATCTTTTCAGCGTCCTGATAACTGCTGTATTATTCTGCCAACGAGATGCATTAAAAGATCTAATTGTTCACCGGTCGGCGGATGATCGTCCCAAAAGTCGAATGTCTCACGTGGCGCCTGTCTGAGCGTCAACAGTCCGGGGAAGTTGGGATGGAAGCTTTTTATGGACCGAAGAGAGACATTTAGTCAGGAATAACTAATAAAAGCACCATTATCTCACAGTAGACCTGATTCCAAGCCGTTATTTATGCAACACTAAGGCTCAACAGGGGAAATACGACAAAGGTTGAGCTGGTCCTGAGGTCAGTTGCTCTGTCAATGCCAGTGTGTGTGTGTGTGTGTGCTTGGTTCTAACTCTGTCAGTGTTGCGGTTGTGTGAGGCAGTATTGCCGTCCAGCAAGTTACATGAGGCGAGTTATTCCGTCGCAGAAGAAGTATGTCTGATTGACATCGCGGTGCGTAATGTGTGGGGAATTTTGATTTTCTTTTTATGTGCACATGCGGGATCAACTTTTACCGTTCTGTTCTTCCAGCTCATTGCCGATATCCTGGCCCATTATCTTCTGTCTGCTGATGACGGCGGCCAGCGCATCCAAGCCTGCATCCTGGACTGCGAAAAGACAGAAGACAGAAACCTGTAAATCCATCCAACCAAAGAACAAGAAAGGGGAGCAAGCAAGAGCGAAGAGAAGTGTATGTGGGGGGATGAAGTCGATGCGATGTCAGATTTCGCAGTGGGGTAAAACAGACGATAAAGAAAACGTTTGAATAAGCGGAATTACAAGAGAGCCGTAGAACGACTGTGCACCGTTGTACGATGAGGTGAATATTGGGGAAATAGGAATGACAGGCTGTCCGGGCTCGGCTCGGATCACGGTGCCTCATGTGAGTCATTCGGCACTTTACCCCACTCAGACGCGCTCTTGTTGTTATAACTGCGGTGGAGAGCGGAGTGAAGCCGAGCGCGACGAAAAGCCGCGGCCTCCGCTAAGTTTCCCAGATTGACACACTCTCTTCTACTGGAATTCGAGGTTTTCTTTTTGACCACAGGTTCAGGCACTGCACCAGAAATCCCCACAGGGAACCAGAACGACCTCCATGTGGTTTGTTTCTCGCCGTCTCAAGAGGAATCCGTGATCCCCACGTTGACAAGAAGCAGAGGAGCCGCCATGGCGACGGGGCAAAGAAGTGTCACTCGCAGTCAGGTGAACTGACGTCAAGTGATGTCAGAGACATTGGGGAAAATGGGTGGGGGGTCGGCAGCAGGCATTGGCTTTCAATACGTCTTCTCCATGAGAATGATTGTGATCCACTTTTTATATGAAAGCCTACAACCAGCCGAGCAAGGACTTGTTATATATGTATATATATATATATATATATATATATGTATATATATATATATATATATATATACACACAAAGAGTCAAAGAGTCAATGTCAAAGTTAACGTGTCATTTAATGAGATAATTGTGGCCGAGAATAATGCGATAAGATATTTTAACACAGCTAACACCTTTGACACCGCCGCGTGCTGCAGTCAGTTAGATCGGAGACAGCGAGGCGACATGAGAAATGGAGAGAGCTTTCTGCATTGGAAGTAAAACAAACAGAAGCGGGACACACAGCGGAGAACTGTGCAGAGGAATTCCTCCACGCGTTAAAGGGAAGGGAGACACACTGCTAAGCTAAGCTAGCTGCTAGGCAACGTCCATCTCAACATCTACTCTGCAGAGGACCATCACTGCGCCCCTAAAAGACAATATTATGTGCACACAAATATTAAGAGATGTCACACATGATGCATTCTTGTTGGAAGTATAAATTTATATAAATAAAGTATGAGTTTAGGACAATTAGTGAATTTGTGGCAGGAATTTGATCATGCTATGCCCAGATTTGCCTTCAATGGCAAATTCAATTGGAAAGAAAATTAAGCGGACACACGATACCGTGGTTGCTCGTTTCATTTGGAGAGCGCTAAATATATTTTACCTTCGATGATTCGTTGTTGCTGCTGTTTGATCTGCCCAAAGGTCAGTCCTGTGGTTTCCTCCGATTCGTTGACCAGCCAGGGGTTGGCCACAACGCCTCCGCTCGATCCTGCCCCCGAGCCCATCAACATCGACCTGTGAGACGCCATCAAAAACACACTTCGTTTCAAAAGTGTGTCACCCGAACCTCTTCAGGTTCAATAAAAAGGTATTACATTTTTCGTCCAATTAGTTTTGGGAGCATGTGAAATGTATATTCGTAGCCAGAAAGCAGAGATGCAGCTGTTAAACTAACAAAGACTAATCATCCAACAGTGCAGCACGTCTCAGACACTCAATGGGAAGCTATTTTACTGACAATCACCACTCCAGCACACAAGTCTAAAGCACCCGTCAAGCATGAGTGACTTTCAGCTGCATAAGTAAACACAGTCTATTTCCCAGGTTGGGAAATAAGTGCAATGCACATCTGTACGACCTTGCACAGAAAACACATCTGTACAAGGCATGTTCCTATTAAAATACTTTAATCTTTCAAACATTTTATGACAACGACACCCTTCAGATCGCAGAGAAAAGTATTCAGCCACTTTGTCTTTTAAGTTCTTTGAATGATTGAAAAGTACCAGGTTAGCTCGCCTGTTAATCTTTCACAGGACTGAGGGCTGCTGGGGAGGTTTGGCCCTGACGAAGTGACAGACCAGAGAGAAAGAGAGGGGAGGGAGGGAGATCTGCACTGTACTTTGCTGTGATAAACACCGCTGTGTGCTTTTAAAAGCTATTCTTCTGCTAATAGCTTAAAGCTGTGTTTCAGCTTTCCCCCGTCTTGCCGTGACGGGCTCACAAACCCTGCGTGAGGTCGGATTTAACCACGTATGCCGAGAGCAAGCCGTCTGCTGGTTAAGCTCGTGGGGGGGCGGAGACCAGAGCCACATGTCCCAACTGTTACTTAACTTTTATTGGCACATTTAAACCTAAAGCTTTCAAATTCAGAAGTGAAAGTCGTTTTGGTTAATCTCCATTTCTTTTGGACCACCGCTGCATAATTTTACCTCCCGCCCCCAACTTCTTCATCAACAAATCCTTGTCAGGCCATTGGCAACGCCAGCTAGCTGGGGCCTGATACCATGAGGGCGTAGGCGGGACAAGGCACTCGGGGTAACCTTTCTGACACGTTTCATTACTGTGAGGCCGTGTGCCAGCCGGACACTTCCTGCGCAGAAGTGCCCAGTGTGTGGAGATCCAATTAACCGGCCGGTGGGGGGGCGCCAAAGTCACTCGGGCACATCTCTTGGCAGCCGCGAGGCGCTAGACTGCCGCCACCGGGGCCCGCGCACCCGGAACATGACTTGAACGACTGGGACGGAGAAGATTTGACTAATTGCAACTACTTCCAGTGTGATCAGATCAAAAGGAAAGGTTAGTGAAGAATGATGGCGTACTGAGTCCTTCTTTTGCCCGGTCTGAAATGGAGATTCAGAGAAATGTATGGTTTCAGAGATAGAAGTTAGGAGCTGACTTTAATCGATCCCTTTTCTTCTACCCAAAGTTCTCACCCCAAAAAAAAAAAGAACGGCTTAGATGATGCAAGCATGGCCAATCCCCCCCCTCCCTCACTGCATCCACGGGGACCACACAGCGGCAGAGAGTCCTACCCACAAATGAAAAAAACCCCAAATGACCTACCACAAATCACTGTTATAGTGAGGTCTGAAAACTTAAGAAGAGAAGAACAAATCACACGGCCACATGATTGCAGTTTGCCGAGCTTTTTTATTAGCAAATATCATTTGTGTTTTATTTGACTTTTTTCACAAGGTCTTTTTATAAAATTGAGTGTGTGCAAATCACCGCCAAGTAGATCAATCCCAAAAAACAAAAGCCTATTGAAAGGAGTTTTACTAATCTAGCAGAACGGTGGCCATTACTTGTTTTGGCACAGAGGAGACATGCTGTACTGTACGATGTCAAAACAGCATCTCAAAAACACAGATTCACTAGACCGACGTAAAAAGCTGGAAGGATTTACACAACGCGCAAGAGTTTCCACCTCCCGTCCAAACAAAGATCACACGGGCCGGACTGGGTCAGATGTTACGCAGAGTAATGACCGCTCTCACGTCAATACAAAAGAAGAAGACACAAGTCTTGCTGCGAGCGCCGCCTCAGGAGGTGTGATCAGCGGTGCGAAGAAAGATATTTCTCTTAATGAAAAAGAATTAGGCGTGAAGTTAGGCAGGCCTGTCAAAATGGCAGACAGACGGACTTCTTTCCGAGTGACAGCACAGGGAGAGGTCACGGCACATGGGTCGTACCGGATGCACGGAGACTCTCACAGAGAGTCAGTGACCGGTGACGTCTCATCAAAGCGGAGAACAGAGCCTGTGACCTCTCTGGTCAAGGACATAGACAAGAGAATGAGGATTCGTTATTTTTAATTGGCCGTTCGGCACTTTGACACTGACTGACGGAGACTCAGGGTCGAGAAATATTCCGTAATTTTCTTAAACCAGTTAAGCAACAGGCTGGCTGCCCCAGAACATTTTTCAGAATGAAAGTGCTAAAAAAAAAGGCACCACTGGTCAAAGATATGTTAAAACTCTGAAATTTGGACCAAATGGTCTAATGCATAACATGTTTATATTTTTCTAGGTTCACGCTTAGCGTTCACAGTTCTCCTATTTTGTGGAACCCATTCAAATGAAACGCTACCGTTGTCGTTTTATGTTAGCGAGGCCTAGGTCGCGTTGTATTGTGGACCGGCAGAACGCTTCGAAAATGATGACAAAGGAACCTGCATTTGCAACTTCATTGGGTCTTAGCAGTTAAGTATCCTTGCCTGCCCGGCTCCCCGGCTGCAGCTTTCAAGAGGGCAACAGACACAAAAGGAAGAATTTTCCTTTCCTTATCAATGCAATGGGGTTTTGCACAACATGGCGAAGCTATGAAGGTGAGAACAGACAACCACAAACCAGGAGGAAATGAGAGATTGACCAAACATATTGACCCATAAACTAGTCAAGTTTGATTAGCCAGTGTTCATTTTATTAAGTAAATCTTGAGTTTGAAGAAAACTAACCACTGAATGTATCTGTTTGAGGGCCTGGTTGGGAAATATAGAAGAACGTCTTAGTTAACAGGCACTAGGATTTTTAATAAAGCTTGCCCAGTGTTTTTGAAAAACTGTGAAAATGTATCTGCTTTTGTTTTAAAGGAATTGTAGTTGTTAATAGTTGATAAGCGTAGAGAATGCTTGATGAGATTTACCAGTGTTCCTAACTTTGACTTCTTAGTTAAGAAGGGCTAGGATAGCACAATCTGCTTGTATCTTAAATACCTTGAAGGTTCAGACTCCATGAAGTCTCCCTTGAGGGTGGCATTGAGCTGCTTCTCTCTGGTTAGCAGGTCGTCAATAAGGTTCTGTCTCCTATCAGCTTCTGACTGCATCCTGATGAAGCCACGTTAAAGGTCATGCACAAAATAGTCAACGTCCTTCAAACCACCTTGGATGCTCCACACACTTTTCTCTGAGCCAGTTTAGAATTAACCCATGAACACAGAAACCGATCGCTTGAGAAGTTAGGCCAGAGCTTTACATAACACTGTAACGCCCTCTACAGGAAGAAAACTGCTACTACACGCGAGGGAGACCCTCCAGGACTACCAGTGTATGGGACGTTCTCAGAAGAAAGGATACAAGCGCCGACTTGATGATGCTCGCAACAAACCCTCTTTAAGCTGGGCAATGTTCTGTTTGAGCTTCTGCAGTGACGCTCGCAGTGTCATGTTGATCTGAAAAAAACAGAAGATATTCGACTGGCCACCACAGAAACCGGAATATCAAAGAGATTTGTAGGTGAAGCCACTATGTTTGTGAATGTTACGCCGTACCTTTGCAGGGTTCCCCCCTGTTCTCTGCTGCCTGTTGCGCTCATGAATGTTTTCTGCCGTTTCCTGTGCCAAGCGACAAGTGGCGTCATAATTCTGTAACCTGTAGATCAATGAACGGGAGGAAATGTCATTCAAGATTTATTGTCAGAATGTAACACAGTGATCCACAACTAAGTTCAGCTGTAAAAACTACAAAACTTCTGTTGCTGCAAACATTCGACATGTGAATTGATCTGGAATCACTGACTCGTGACAAACAGTTGGCAAAGATAAATCACAGAGCCAAAATACATTATGTAATTAATGTGTGAGACACAAAACTAAAAGGTTAATCCCTGGATTTGTGAAAGGGTGAGAACAATCGGTTTCCATAACAAAACTTGTATTTAGAGAATACAGAACACAGTGCAGTAAACACGATCTAGTTCTGCCCTCGTAGCTCTTAATGATCAGACTGTCTGAGGGCTTCACATCACTCTCCTCCACCGACGTGTGTGCTGCACTGTGCAGGATTAATCCACGTAAGGCTGATGGCCCTGATGGCGTCCCCGGACGCGTGCTCAGGGCCTGTGCTGTGCAGCTAGCTGAAGTCCTGACTGACATATTCAACCTGTCACTAGCCCAAGCTACTGTCCCCACGTGCTTTAAAACCACCTCTACCGTGCCAGTGCCAAAGCACTCCACCGCAGTGAGCCTAAATGACTTCCGCCCAGTTGCACTCACTCCAACCATCATGAAGTGCTTCGAGAGTCTGGTCCTGGCTCACCTCAAAACCTGCTTACCACCCACACTGGACCCCTTCCAATTCGCATACCGCAAGAACAGGAGTACGGAGGATGCCTTTCTCACCTGGACAATAACAACAGCTATGTGAGGATGCTGTTCATAGACTTCCGTTCAGCGTTCAACATTGTCATCCCCTCCAAACTAATCACGAAACTCAGTCACCTGGGTATCAACACTTCCCTCTGTAACTGGATACTGGACTTCCTATCCAACAGACCCCAGTCTGTTAGGGTAGAGAACCACACCTCCTCAACCCTCATGCTGAACACCGGCGTGCCACAGGGCTGTGTGCTAAGTCCTCTCCTCTACTCCCTCTTCACCTATGACTGCACACCTGTACACAGTTCTAATACCATTGTCAAGTTTGCAGACGACACAACGGTGATTGGCCTCATCAGTGACAACGATGAGTCGGAGGTCCAGCACCTGGCGGTATGGTGCGCCGACAACAACCTGGCCCTCAACACCAAGAAGACCAAAGAGCTAATTGTGGACTTCCGGAAGAAAACTGGCACACACATCCCCATCCATATCAACGGGACGGAGGTTGAGCGTGTCGCCAGCTTCAAGTTCCTTGGTGTCCACATCTCTGAGGACCTCTCTTGGACCCTCAACACCTCATCCCTGGTAAAGAAAGCACACCAGCGTCTCTTCTTCCTGAGGAGACTGAAGAAGGCCCAGCTCTCTCTTACCGCTGTACCATAGAGAGCATCCTTACAAACTGCATCTCAGTATGGTATGGCAGCTGCTCTGTCGCGGACCGTAAATCACTGCAGAGGGTGGTGAAAACTGCCCAACGCATCACCGGTTCCTCACTCCCCACTATTGAGGCTATCCAGAGCAAGAGATGTCTGCGGAGGGCACGCAGCATCGAAAAGGACAGCTCTCACCCCAGCCACAGACTGTTTGCCCTCCTCCCCTCTGGGAGGCGCTACAGGGTGCTCCGTTCCCAGACCAGCAGGTTCAGGAACAGCTTCATCCCTGCGGCTGTCATTCTACTGAACTCTGCCCCTCCTGAACTCTGAACTCTGCCCCCCACCCCCCAAACACATCCCCCTCAGTGACTGAACATTTGCACTGTTATTGCATATCCATTTCTTACTGTTCATATTGCAAAACTATTTCTTACTGCACATATCTATTTATTCACTTATTGCACATACTCTGCACTTTTTGCTATTTGGCACTTCTGGTTGGATGTTAAACTGCATTTCGTTTCCTCAGTACTTGTACCCTGTGCAGTGGCAATAAAGTTGAATCTAATCTAATCTAATCTTATTTACCGCCATGGAAAGGATGAAACACCACTGACATTCAATACAGCACCTATACTAAAAGTGCATTTTCGTCACTTGTTGGTATTATTGGTTAAAAACGTCCGAGAACAGGTAAAGACTTCACATAAGCAGCATTTATCATGTGACATTAGCATCGCTTTTTTACTAGCTTCAGTCTGAAAACAAAACCCAAGTGTAACGTTACTAACTTAAAAACATCAAGTTTCATTAATCTTACCCAGTGCCGCTGTACTAACCTTACATTTTACAACTCACAGATACCATATTAACTTAAAGTTCATATATTGAATTTGCTCAACGTTAATCCTGACAGGGAAGAGCTAACGTTAGCTACCACTTTAGCTAACAGCTGAAAGAATAACGTTAGCGTAAGTTATTAGCGTTAGAAACAGCATTTTTAAAGTTAATAGTACAGTTGAGATAATTTACGGTAAGCTTCGAACACTGTGCTTACCACGGGTCCTGAGACATAACGATAACAGTTATCAATGGAGAGAAAATCCACTTAGTTTATCTGGCAATAATCACCAGCAAACTGCTTCTTGTTTAGGTTTGACGTCACGACGGCACCCAGCGAGGTACAATATAGAAAGAAGCGAAACTTTATTTAAAGCAAATCCGTGCTTTACCAAATGATGACATGGAACAATGTGGAAACATGTAAAACATCGAGCCCATTTTGACAAAAAGAATATGGATATGTAGATAAAGACTAAATAACTGCGTATTGCATTATCATATAAGTCAATTTATAAATACTCAGCTAGACATATGTACAATATCAAACATAGCAAATCAAACATTATGCACAGCCTATTCTTGGCTCCATTAGTAACACAAACAAAAAACATTCCATCTTGGGGAAAACACCAGCAATTGTGTCATTGTGTTGTATGACTTTTTAGTATTGTCTTGGATAATAGCAGCTAAAATTGGTTGGGAAAAAACATCTGTATTAGATATAAACCAAATGTCACAGGTGTATCTCATTTTTTTCCTTTATATGGATAAATGTCTATCTTAAATCTGATAGTATCAGTTTTTCCAAAACTGTTATGTGTGAAAATTGTAATAAGTAGCCATGGTCATCCAAGAGGTACTGAGAAAGATTATTGTATCGTCATTCCAATTTTGGCTGATTGAGGTTTCCCTGTTGATTGAAATTGTTCTGTTGTACGACATGATGAAGTAAAACCTCCATTCTCCATTAATACAGGATTTGTCAAGGACATTCTAACCACTTTTAAGTAATATTTTTTCATTTCAAAGTCCCATTTTAGCAAAACTTCCAACCCTACAATCTTTTTTTTTTAATTCTGGAAACATGAGCCCACAACCACATGTCAGACATTCAAGCGTTCATCCAATTTATTTTAAAGTATCCTATAACTGATTCAAAGTTAAGTGTTTTTAAACCTCCCTTAACCAGTTGTGATATATGGATTAGTTAATATTGAATACCCCTTGAAGATATCCATGGATCAATCAATTTACAAGCTATTATATATAATACTTGATTAGGTTGGACTCCTGTTAAAACATCGGAGCAAGTAGCTGATCACGGTCAAAATATAACCACCAGGTGGCTTTGCATGATGTCTGTAAGGGAAATGATGAGAACAAATAAAGAAAAACTTAAATGTACAGAAAAGAAAACAGAAGACATGTTTTTGTATGATTAGTGGCACTAACCTGTCCTGTCTTGAAGGGACAATCTAAATTCAACATCAACCCTTTATAATGCATCTTATAGTTTTACATCTGTACTTGAGTTTGAACTAAAGGGACCGTCTCTCGGAGCACACAAGTCATTTCTTTTGGTAATTAATTCAATCGTGACTGTGAAATCAGAGTGAACTATATGGTGCTAGAGAAGTGTGTGAATTGGAGCTTTAAGTTGATTTTATGAGATTTAGCGAGTGATGATCCCAAAGAAGCCAAACCACAAGATGCAGAGCAGAAACTGTTGCTGTCAACATCAGCTGCATGATGTAAACAGCTCTGGAAACAGACAACAACGCACAACAACAGGCAATACATGAACGGAAGACTTTATTTTAGTTTTAGTAACTTTTAATGTAATTCTTATGCGTAGAAGACTTGTTTACTTGCCTTTTTAACTATCATCAGGAATGAGGAAACATTTGTTACCAAAACGCAAGAGGAATAAAAATATAATATAATAAAATATAATGCTATGGGTTGGAATATAAAGCTATGTGTTAGTTTAAAAATAAAGGAATACAAGTTAGAAATGTTTAAATAAATAAAGTGCACCAGCGAAAAGAAGTGTAAGTGCACATGTGTATGTGGAGTGTGACTGAAAAGGCTTCTCTCTTGTTTTATGGAGACATTCTGCGCACCTGACAGCTATTTGTTTTCTTTTAACAGCCTATCATTTTTCTAATCCAGAATAATGCTGTTCAACAGAAAAGGAAGGGAACACGTGCTCACCTTTCACAGCGTCCTTCTCCTGTGTGTTTGTACCTCGAATAAATAACCTAATCAATACAAAATAATTGAAAAACTGTATTTGGGATTTCTGCTTTTTACACCTTTTTTTTCTTCTTACTGACACCCAGAGCGCTAGTGCTCATGAGCAACATTTACATGATGTTTATGATCCTAAAGAGACGTAAACAGTTCCTCCTGGTCACAATATGGGCCTCCATAGAATTAATAGTATGTAGGCTAGAAGCCCCCAATTTCTTAAAAGCATGACTTTTAACCATTTAGGAAGGTTCTTAATGGACCACCTTAATGGAAATTGACATAAAGGACCGACGGGATGCCTTCAGTTTGTTTTTCAACTTGGTAACATGTGGAGCCCGCACATGAAATGAGTGCTTGTTGAGGTTACATGTTTCATGAGAAAACAGCAGTTGTGTTGTGATCTAAACACACATCTGTTGTGTAGAACAATAACCTTTGGAGGACTTCTGGGAATAGACACATTTGACATTTGGCTGTTGTGCACAAGGCGGTTTCGGCGAAAGGAACATGATTACTCTGATGACCTCATCACCAATATTCAAATCTTTGACATGTCTCTGCATAAACAAATGAAATCAAAATATCATCTGCAACAACTGCAGCAGCGAGGAGAAATCTCTTGAGCTGTGAGTGCATGTGAATTTATGTTTTGTGTAATGTATTGTGGAGGTTTTTCATTCTTCTGAATGATGCTTCTGATAATTGGCGTTCTGAGGACACAGTCCAGTCGGGGTAATTACTCCCACACTGCACGTCAGCATACATACTTGGGTTTGTTTTTTGTCTGGACTTTCCACAAACAAACCCTCCCACCAAAAGTCTCGAATGACCGCAGGGCCCCACAGGCTTATATAACGGCCCGTCCCTCAGAACGAGCACACACTTTGACGCTCCGGAATCGCATGCCGGCGAACGACAAGACTTGAAGCAATGATCCACGTTTCGAGAGCGCCGGATTTCTCCAACTGCGTGGGAGTGAATTCCATGCCGATGTCCGACCAGGACCTGGGCTCCGTGGCCGGGGGCGAAGGCCGGCAGAGGTCACACTCCTACTGCACGCCGGAGGACAGCAAGAACTGCGGCCTGGAGACCCCGACGGAGGAGACCTTCACGAGGCCTCGCTCCAGGTATGTTAGACAACACTTGTAATTATGTGCATTTAAAGTTGGAAGTACTGCGTAGTTCAAACTGATTCCACTGCTCTCCAGGTCCTTTTACAGCTACGAACAGACGGAGCGTAACTCTGAATACGACGCGGGAAACTTCTCAAGGTCCAGTCCACTGAGGCAAAGGGTCAGCTCCCTAATTCAGTACCAAGTGAACAAAAAGGAGAAGAGAGAAGGGGACGGGGTTGGTGCTGGAGTCGGCACCAAGAAGACCAAGTCCAAACGAAGCAAGCACTCACAAATAGGAGATCATTATGGTACTAAAATATTGTGTGTGTTTTTCTCCCAAAGCTATTTACCTAAAACTAAACGTAAATGTGTGTGTTCATTCTTTTCTCAGGCAGTAAAGGCAATCTCAAGCCGGTGTGCATGATGACCATCTCTGAGTCAGACAACTGGGAGATTAACTCCTGTTCTGGGATGAAGTATGGGCAGTTTGTGGACTGGGAGAAGATTGACCCCGAAGCTGCAGTGCGATACCAGCAGATCTTGCACAGTGACCACCAGCAGCTGAAGACAATGGGCCGTGAAGGATTCTGGGCCACGCCGCACACACTGAGGGCCAAAGCGTACTACCATATCATCCACAGCATCAACTCCAGGTTAACGTTGTCACATTGAATTTTCTCAATTATGTCCTGAAGCACTTGGTGGATACCGCTTTTTGCAAAATTGGGAGGTGCTTTTTAATCTAAACCCAAATGGGATTGTGTTAAATCTGCAGCAGGTGTATCATTCCAGACAGAAATGTTTACTGTGAAGTATCCAAGACGTACTTTGGAGAACAGAAAATCAGCACACATGCGGTCCCAGAGTACATGGAGGCGGCAGAAATACCCAGGTACTTTGATGGGATAATATCGGTTCATGATATTATTAGTTTTCAAAAGTGAATCTGGGACTCTGTCAACTTATTTTTGCCCACAGCGACCCCCAAAATCAACACAAAGCGAAATGTTCCTTGTGGTGCCCTTCAAGCATGTCAGTTGATCTGGTTACATTTAGCGACATATTTTGACATATTCTGTCTTTTTCCCAGAAAACGAAGATGCAATGCAGGATTTTTATGCTTTCAATGGTGAATTACCATGTGTACGACTACATTGAAGTCTCCCCAATTGACTCTTCTTCTTCGTCCCCCCTCATCTAGATACTGTCTGAACAAAGCGGGACTGAACTCCGTGAAAAAGATCCTCATTTGCCTCGGCAAATGCTTCCCAGACATGAACTTCTGCCCCATCCTGGCCGAACTGGTCTCCCTCCTCCTCCACTTCAGCGAGGACGAGGCCGAGTGTTTCCACAGCGTGTCCCGGCTCATCTGCTACAAAGACCCCAACAAGCGCTACATCGACCAGACCTTCCTCACCTACCGCGCTTCCTGCATGACCTTCGGCGACCTCGCCAACAGGTGCTGCAGAGGCATCCGCAAGCTGATCGCCAGCTCCCACCAGAACCTCTTTGAGTTCTACTCCGACTGGATCATGTGGATATTCGCCGACCTTCCCTTCACGTACGCCATCAGAGTGCTGGACGTCTACCTATCGGAGGGCTACAAGGTCCTCTACAGGTTTGTTGTGCCTTTCGCATGGAAACAAAAATCTTGAGCGCATTGGCGGTCACCTTTCCGGAGCGGCGGCGTAACCCGTGTGGTTCTTTGCGAAGGGTGGCGCTGGCTCTGCTCAGCCTTTACAAGGTGTCCGTGTCTTCGAGAGTGGCCGACGTGGAGGACTTCCGCACGGACATGAAGAGGTTCGTTCAGAGCGTGGCTCGCCACTGCACCGCTGAGAATCTTCTGCAGAGGGCCTTCCTGATCCGGATGGCCACGCGGAGGGAGCTCAACCTGCTGTTCAACGCCAACGTGGACGCCCTCATGCAGAAAGGCGTCGGCACGCACCAGAAGAGGTGGGTCAGCGCAGAAGTTCCGTATAATAATGGCCTACTTGGGAGGAGAAATAGCCGAGGAATCTGCTCATGAGGCAAATAACTTTTTTTAATTTTCACGTTGTTGTCGTTTTAACGTTCCTTTAAAAGGCAGTCGGTCGAGACGGTGAACTTCAGCAGCTTCTCCTCCTGTGTTGTGACTGGGACGGAGATGAGAGTCGTCTGGGCCTGGATACCCGAGCGCTTTTCCCTCTTCAGCCCCGTCCGGCTGTTCAGCACGGCGGAACACGGAAGAAGTCTTGCATCGTAAGTTACCTTCGGCGACCAAAAAAATCTGCGAGATAAAGAGCTGGTGAATTATGTCCAATAGCCTTTTTCCATTTACTAAAATACTTCCGGTCCGGTATTTCTCTCCTCTCATCTGTAGTATTCATCAGTCTGGATTCTTTATGGTGTGAGTTGCCTAGTTTGATGAGAGTATTAAGTTTGTGTTTTCTTGACTTTGAGGTGAACACTGCCTTTAAATGAGGCCATGTTGTTATGGATCAATAACTGCTGAACAACATGTACCAGCAGGGAAGAGCAGACACTAAATAGCAGAGAATGTGGAGACCAAGCAACGGTTCAGGTGGTTCTGTTGACAAAAGTTAAACAACTATTTCTCCATCCATCCATCCATTGTCAAACCGCTTATCCTGCACACAGGGTCGCGGGGGGGCTGGAGTCCATCCCAGCCAACTTCGGGCGATAGACAGGGTACACCCTGGATTGGTCGCCAGCCAATCGCAGGGCAACACAGAGACACACACCCATTCACACTCACATTCACACAACTACGGGCAATTTAAAGTCCCCAATTAACCTGATCCCCAGAGCATGTCTTTGGACTGTGGGAGGAAGCCGGAGAACCCGGAGAGAACCCACGCAGACACGGGGAGAACATGCAGACTCCACACAGAAAGGCCACTGGGCGGAATCGAACCCAGGACCTTCTTGCTGTGAGGCGACAGTGCTAACCACCACGCCACCGTGCCGCCCAAATGATCAGGAGGTGGATGTTAGAAACGACACAGAATCACGTTTGTTTTCTCTCTGATATAGATTCTATTCACATGTGGAGGGACTCGAACCAGCGGTCTTGATTATCAAAACGATGTGTGAAGAGGTAACATTATACAAGAACATATTTTCTGTTTTATTCAATATATTTGAAGAAAAATAAACAGAAAATCTATTGCAGACAATAATCAGTTTCTGAAATGCTGCCCTGCTGAAAAACTTTTCCTTTCTTAGGTCTTCGGTGCCTTCCTGTCTACAGATGTGATAGAAAGAAAGAAGCACGACTCTGAGGGACTCACGTATTTTGGAACCGGGGAATGTTTCGTTTTCACAGTGAGTCATAATCCAGCCTTCTTCCTCTTCTTCCTCTCTTTTTTATTTTGCCCCCTTGAGTTTAGCTCGTCACGCTTTCCTGCAAAGTTTTTTTTTTCTTTTGCGCCAACATTCTTGATCGCCTCTCGACATACTAAAAGTCTCTCCCTCCCTCAGCTGCGTCCCAGCATGGAGCGCTACCAGCAGGCCATGGTCAACATCATGACCAGAGCAGCTTCCCCTCAGATGGCTCGGCACGGCTGTTCGGCCTCCTCTTTGGTGCCTCCCATCACCGCCACGCCCTGTCCCGCCGGAACCCCCCAGGACACCGGCTACCTGACGATCCCCTTCGCAGCCCCGTCAGAGCGACCCACGGCGACCAAAGAGCCGAGGAAACCCAAGGAGCAGGAGGCCTCCATGTTCATCGCAGGCAGTGACAGTCAGCTCATAATCGGTACGCCGGAGGAATATATTGTTATTGTTATTAGTTGTTGAGAGGCTCTGGTTATGTGCTGATGTTCCTTCTCTCTTAGGTGGTGATGGAGGAACTGCACTGTGCCTACAGGAAGACCTGGAGGCGGGGTACTCTGAGCCTTGTGACACGTTCAAGAGCACCCAACTCTGCAAGGGACATTTCAAGATCCAGGCCCTGGAAGTGTGGGGCATCCAGAACTCTATTTCAGTCTCTCTCTCTCAGTAGACTAAAGACAGAGAGCGAAGCTGTGGAACTTTGTAGCTTTGGGGGTAATACCCTGGAACCATTTTCTCCACCATGCTGTTTCATTGCACCTGATTTCTTATGTAAATGTATTGTCATAAACAGTGGTTCCTGTGGCACGCAACGACATCCGCTGCAATGATTCGCAAAAAAACATACTCTACCTGGATGCATATACACTTCCACATGGTATTTTCTTATTATTTCAGTTTCTATTTGTATTTTATACTACCTTTATGCTACATTTTAACATGTGATCAGTGTTTCATGTTTTCCTCTGTCTTATAACTTATTCAGATATATACTGTACCTATTGTGAACATGATATTTTATACTGAAAGGTAAAGCATTTTCTTTTCATTAAATCATTACGTTGTACATAATGTGTACTTTTGTCTCATCAAATATCACACCACAATGCGCACAACAATTCAAATACAATATGAATCAATAGCAACTATTTAAAGGAGACATATGCTTATTTTAACACCCATATTTGTATTTAAGGTTTCCATCTTCACATGCTTTGATGTTAAAAAAAGAATTCTCGCATTGTCTATGTGAATTCCCTTGTATTCCCCTTCTGTCTGAAACTGGAACGCAATCTAGAGAATTTAGCAGAACTCTGCAGCCGACTGCAGCACATTTTGAGTGTTGATTTTGCTTTGTGCTGCTCACTAGTTCATCCTAGGTTTGCAAGAACAAAGTTGAGTGCTTCGCCGTGTTGGGGGGGGGTGCGGTGGAGGGAGGGCCACGGCCATGTAGGGGACTCCCGCTTGATCTGATGACCTCAACAAACCCCGGAACGTCCCGACAATTTGTGTTATTTATTAATAATTCATTACAGGAATCATAGAAAAAACGCACCAGCCACCCAAACCTGTTTGTTAATTCCTTGTCGTGTCTCTGGCTCCAATGCTGCTCCCCGAGCAGACCACGGAGAAGATCAGTTCACTGGCCACAACAGAGTGCTAGAACAACGTCAATATCTTGCAGCACACGTTGAAGGATCAAAGCTCTTCCCCCTTCTCGTAAACATTGTTGTCGTTGGTCTTCTAGTTAATTCTGTTGTCGATCGAGAGTCTCAGGAAACCTGTACTCCTCTACCAAGTCCACAAACTCAATCACCATCTCTCTGGTCTTTTGATTGACATGCATGAGTTGGAATCTGGTTTAAAAATGGTTTTGGCACTATATTTTGTTTGGGATGTTCTACATCTTCACTTAATGTTTCTGTTGGACCACCGCTTTACTTTGCATGGCTGTTATAAATATGTCAAAACAAAATAACTCAGTCAAGCATTCATTTGATTATCTTACAGTAACGCTTTAATTAAAGAAAAAATACAGTTCAGGCACAATTCAGTTGTAATTTCCCTTTAACACACGAAATGCAGGTAACATGTCCTCTACGTATTGTCAAAGAAATTCAGTTAATCTTCCATCCGTATTCAATTTAAAATATACGCTTTGTTATTATATTATTTTGACAACCGGAAATTGACTCACGTCGATCCCTCCGCTAACTTCACACAGGCTCTCACTCGCTCTCGATCTGAGCCATTTGAATGCGAACTAACCTTAATTAAATTTAAATGTCAAGGATGTTGAATTAAAGATGATGCAGAGAAAAGACGTTGCCGACCCTCAGTTGTTACCTGTTATTAAAGAGGTGGGACTCTTATTGTGTATGCCCTTTGGAATCGTATAACTAACGGTACGTCTTTGTTATGCTAGCCAGTGGTACAACAACGTTAGCCTTGGCTAAGCTAGCCGATAGCTAACCGGTCTTTTTACTGTGTGCACGCGCGTCCCAGATAAACAATCATCCAAATTAATTTTGCACAGCCAATGAAGAAATACATTCGTGTATGGTCAGCACATGACTCAAATGTAGTCCGCGTTGCGTTAGTTAACGTTACCCTGCATGTTTACAGGTGTTGAATCCACCAGATTCAGATACAGTGTTTTTCCTGATCAACACCTGGTTTATCGTCCTTTCCGAAGACCCGACTGTGGTATCTGAAGCAGGGCAATGAAGGAGAATCGTCTTCACCGTGAGCGCGAGAGAACCGCTGGATTGTTCTGCTCCGCGTTCTCCTCGGTGGTTCTCCTTGTTCTCCAGTTAGCAGCTGCATTTCAGTGTTAATAACAACAACACCGGAGCCCAACAGCTGAACCCTTCCAAGCAGAATCTGGCTGCAGTGTGTGGCTTTGCTGTAATAGCCCCAAACGTGTGGTCTCTTCTACGGTCTTCATGTCCTGGTGTATTTTACACACATATTTTATGCATCATGACAGCAGCTCTCTGGGTCTACGGTCATGAGTGTTCCGAACATGTGACTATAAGTTTACTATAGTTTACCCTCCATAGAGCAATGACAAGTAGATCCCTTTCAGTATATAATTGCTTTTTGAAACTATGTCCTTATAGCATTTACAGTATATAGTAATGTTATATACTGATAACAGATGCCATTTCCAATTACTCTCCATTTGTGTTGTTTTTATTTGTATCTGTGTGTGTATAGGATGCTATCATGGACCCTGGCGCCGCATCTGTCACTATAACTGAATCTTCAGAGGAAAGTAGGTGATGATTCCTCTTTTTGATTCCATGTCTTTCAGTTTAAGTCTTCTCAAAGGATTACGTAACATTAATAGTCACTGATGAAAAAGGTAATCCTTTGACTGTTCCTCAGGTCTGGGAGAAGTTGACATGAAGGAGGTCTCCGAATCGGATTCCACTGACGCCTCCACCGCCACTGAGCCCGAGCAAAAGTCTGAGAGCGGTGCTTCCGACAAGAGTTTCCCTTGCATTGTCTGCGGCAAGGTCTTCGACCGCCCGTCAAAGCTGGAGAGGCACGGAACCGTTCACACGAGGAAGCCCAAAGCCCTTCACCAGTGTCAGCACTGCGAGAAGAGCTTCACGCAACAAGAGAAGCTGATCCGACACCAGAACTGCCACAGCAGGACTAACAAGCACCCCTGTCCCGACTGTGGGAAGGTGTTCAACAGGCCATCGAGGCTCGAACGCCACAAGCGCACGCACTCCAAGAAACCGAAGGTGCCCCATCAGTGCTCGTACTGCATGAAGACGTTCAGTAAGCTCAACAAGCTGGTCCGTCACAAGCGCATGCACACTGGGGAGAAGCCCTTCACGTGCTCGGTGTGCGGGAAAGGGTTCTCGGAGTCGGGCCACTGCAAGGCGCACGAGAAGACGCACCAGGAGCAGCCAGAGAAACCACACTGCTGCGCCGACTGCGGGATGTGCTTCCTAAAGGTCTCGGCACTTCGTCGGCACTTTCGCTCCCATACGGGGGAGAAACCGTTCCGGTGCGGCGTGTGCGAGAGTCGCTTCTCCCGCCCCGAGGGACTCAAAAGGCACATGAGGAGCCACACCGGGGACAGACCGTACAAGTGCATCATCTGCGCCAAGGGGTTTTATTCACGCCAGGATTTGAAAATACACTTGTTGACCCACTCGGGGGAGAAACCACACCTTTGCCCCGTGTGCGGCAAGGGCTTCTCGCAGCTGGGCAACATGAAAGAGCACGAGCAGAACGTCCACATCAAGTCAGAGAAGTACATTTGCAACGAATGCGGGGCGACATTCACGCAGTACAAGTCACTGATGAAACACCAGAGGACACACACAGGAGAAAGACCCTACGTGTGCCTCCCCTGTGGTCGCAGTTTTTCGTGGAGCCACTCTCTCAGCCGACACCGGCGCTCGCACACACACCGACAGATGTCGATGGACACGTCGATGGACACGTCCAAAGACAAATTATGTTCTGAAGGATCCTCGATGAATCCCGACAGTTGAACAATAGGAGTGAGGATACTTCATCGTCAAACTGTCTCCTGGAGCTTCAGTCGACAAAAAGTGTCGGATTTTGTTGCGCAGTGAGAAGTGATTTTGAAGCTTTGTTGCTATTCGCCTCGCAGACTGCCTTATTTTGCCACAAAATATTAGTTAGATGTTCTCAGCACACGCCTCAATGTGAGTATTTCTGTTGATTCCAGTTGTGTTCTATTAATTGAGTGAAGGCAGATCATGTGGCTATTTGAGGGCACTGCTGTAAGTTTACATCTTCCTTTCTGACCAATTTGGACTTGTGGAAGAATGCGGAAGAATACAGAGTTCCCAAAAGATGTGTGACAACCAAAGTTGTTTCCCAAGACCTGAACTCGTATTTGACATGCAACCAAACCGATGCTGTAAACAATATTGCGACTGTAGGATGAATAAAGAAGTCATTTTGAAGTCTTGGCTAAATCTGAGTACTTATCTGCCTCTATGATAGTGTTTGACTTCATCTGCTGTGATCCTCTACCTCAGTTCTCCAGTCCAGTACCAAGTCAACAAAAAGGAGAGAAGGGTACAGGCCAGTGCTGAGTCAGCTCCAAAAAGTCCAACCCCAAACAAAACAAGCACAGTCCCCTTCTCCCAAAGTCTATTTACATAAAAATAAACTTAAATATGTGTGTCCAAACTTTGCACAGGCAGTAAATGCAATCTCAAGCCGGTGTGCATGATGACCATTTCTGAGTTGGACCACTGGGACATTAACTCCTGCTCTGGGAAACTCGTGGCCGGGGACAAAAGGCTATGGTTTGCTACCGGGGCAGGAACAAGATGAGGGAATCCAAGGAACGGGTATGATTGTTTTGTTACCTCTGGCCTCCTTTTAAATGAGGACAGGTCATTATTTATCAATAACTGCTGAACAACATGTACCAGCAGTGAAGAGCAGACAGTAAGGTCTAGTTACATCGCAGAGGCAGGCCGTGTGTTTTCACTATTAACATGTTTGCTTTTGGTGTGGAGGCCGAGAGACTCACGGTTCACGAGCTTCTGTTTACAAAAAATTAAAACAATTTTAACTGAACTGGCCATTATTTCTTATAAACCCAACCACTGCAGTTGTCACAAAACTACTATCAATGGCATGACCAGTGACTCCTCACACAGCCACCAATTCCACACAGGTGCGAATGGGCTTGTTGAAGCAGATAGATGCTGGCGTCGTCCACCCCCCCACACGGGGCTTGTATGCATATTAAAATGGGTCCAGTAAGGATTTTACCTGCGCTCTGAGGACCCAATCTACTTTGGGTACGTCTTTACCTATGGAAGCCTAAAGAGAGAGAATATTTAATGCTAAAAAAAACATACAATTTGAGGGATGTATCAACTTAAGACTGTGTGGGCCGTACTGATAAAATGTAGCACTTTGACATTCAAGGTATTTCAAATTCTTACGGCTCTGGAGAACAACTGATTGACATCCAGAGGTTTATCTGTTTTCAAAATAGTTTTGTTGCCTTATTTTATTTGTGGTTCTCTATATCTTTACCTAATGTTTCTGTTGGATCACCGCTTTACTTTGCATGGCTGTTCATATAAATAAGTCCAATAACACCACAATCGGGATCTACGGGAGTGTATGGAGTGGTATTAAAGACGTTTGATTTCTACATGGTTGTTGTCAGAAATGTTCTGAACAAAATTAAATCAGTTAATCTTGCATCCGTATGGATTTTAAAATATACGCTTTGTTATTAGATTATTTTGACAACCGGAAATTGTCTCACGTCGATCCCTCCGCTAACTTCACACAGACTCTCGCTCGCACTCGATCTGAGCCATTTGAATGCGAACTAACCTTAATTATATTCAAATGTCAAGGAGGTTGAATTAAAAACGATGCAGAGAAAAGATGTTACCGGCCCTCGGTGTTTAAGGATTAGTAAAGAGGTGGGACTCTTATTGTGTATGCCCGTTGGAATCGTATAACTACGTCTTTGTTATGCTAGCCAGTGGTACAACAACGTTAGCCTTGGCTAAGCTAGCCGATAGCTAACGGGGACGTTTTACTGTGTGCACGCGTGTCCCAGATAAACAGTCGAAATCGAAAGACCCAAGACTGAGGCTTTAGCGGTATCTGACGCAGGGCAAAGCAGGAGGATCGTCTTCACCGTGAGCGCGAGAGAACAGCTGGATTGTTCTGCTCCGTGTTCTCCTCGGTGGTTCTCCCCGCTCTCCATCTAGCAGCTGCATGTCAAACACCGGAGCCAAAGAGCTGAACCCTGCCATGCAGAATCTGGCTGCAGTGTGGCTTTGCTGAAATAGCCCCGAACGTGTGGTCTCTTCTGCGGTCTCCATGTCCTGGTGTATTTCAAACATCTGCATCATGACAGCAGCTGTCTGGGTCTACGGTCATGAGTGTGTCAGACTTCCCATGTTACGATCACTCTATTGAAAGCTTTAATATTGCTGCTAAACCGATGTCGTGTTTAGGAGGTATCTGTAATCAAGTGCCTTTTGCTTTGGTATTGTTGTAACATTTTAATTGCTGCTGTTAGAACTCAGCAACCAGATTTGAATTGGCTGATATTAGCTTACAACAAATATATTGTCTTGTGCAAAATTTGATTTTTGATTAGAGTACAGGTACTGAGACAACAAAATGCATTTAGCATCAAACCAGAAGTGCAAGAGAGCAGATAAAGTAAAGTAAAGTGCAGAGTATATATATATATATATATATATATATATATATATACATAAGTGTACAGTATGAAATATACATGGAGCAGTATATACATTAAGCCGCAGGGTTGTTAATATCAATGACAATGTAGTGCAAATGTGGCATACTTGAAGTGTGGAATGTTCAGTGGCTGGAAGGTCGTGTGTCACTGGGAGAGGTGTAGGGGGGCGTTGGAGGAGAGACTAGGGGCTGTCACGGTGGTGCAGAGTTCAGCAGGGTGACAACGCTATGGAAGAAGCTGTTCCTGAATCTGCTGGTCCGGGAATGGAGGGCCCTGCTGTCTATGGCCGGGGTGAGAGTTGTCCTTCACAATGCTCCATGGACATCTTGTGTGCTGGACAGTCTCGATGGTGGGGAGTGAGGAAGCAGTGATGCGTGGGGCAGGTTTCACTCTCTGCAAAATTGACTATGTTGTTGGAACTAGGTCTACAGTCGGTAGGTGAAGAGGGAGTAGAGGAGAGGGCTCAGCACGCAATAGGTCGGCCAATAACAAGACATTAGTGTACAGAATTACCAAATCAAGTTTGTGGTGAATTAGAAAATGTGACTACAACATAGTTTACCCTCCATAGAGCAAGTAGATTGCTTTCACTTGGCCTTTCCTTAGAACATTTATACACCGATTTCCAATTACTATCTATTACTATTACAATTATTATCCATTTGTGTTGTTTTTGTGCGTCTTTGTTTGTGTGTATATAGGATGCTGTCATGGACCCTGGCGCCGGATCTGTCACTACAACAGAATCTTCAGAGGAAAGTAGGTGTGAATTCATCTTTTTGATTCCATGTTTCTCAGTTTAGGTCGTCTAGTAATGGTCACTGATGAAAAAGGTAATCCTTTGACTGTTCCTCAGGTCTGGGAGAAGTTGACATGAAGGAGGTCTCCGAATCGGATTCCACTGACGCCTCCAGCGCCACTGAGCCCGAGCAAAAGTCTGAGAGCGGTGTGTCCAACAAGAGTTTCCCTTGCATTGTCTGCGGCAAGGTCTTCGACCGCCCGTCAAAGCTGGAGAGGCACGGAACCGTTCACACGAGGAAGCCCAAAGCCCTTCACCAGTGTCAGCACTGCGAGAAGAGCTTCACGCAACAAGAGAAGCTGATCCGACACCAGAACTGCCACAGCAGGACTAACAAGCACCCCTGTCCCGACTGTGGGAAGGTGTTCAACAGGCCGTCAAAGCTTGAACGCCACAAGCGCACGCACTCCAAGAAACCGAAGGTGCCCCATCAGTGCTCGTACTGCATGAAGACGTTCAGTAAGCTCAACAAGCTGGTCCGTCACAAGCGCATGCACACTGGGGAGAAGCCCTTCACGTGCTCGGTGTGCGGGAAAGGGTTCTCGGAGTCGGGCCACTGCAAGGCGCACGAGAAGACGCACCAGGAGCAGCCAGAGAAACCACACTGCTGCGCCGACTGCGGGATGTGCTTCTTCAAGTCCTCAGAGCTTCGTCGGCACTTTCGCTCCCATACGGGGGAGAAACCGTTCCGGTGCGGCGTGTGCGAGAGTCGCTTCTCCCGTTCCGAGGGACTCAAAAGGCACATGAGGAGCCACACCGGGGACAGACCGTACAAGTGCATCATCTGCGCCAAGGGGTTTTATTCACGCCAGGATCTGAACATTCACGGGTTGACCCACTCGGGGGAGAAACCACACCTTTGCCCCGTGTGCGGCAAGGGCTTCTCGCAGCTGGGCAACATGAAAGAGCACGAGCAGAACGTCCACATCAAGTCAGAGAAGTACATTTGCAACGAATGTGGGGCGACATTCACGCGGTACAAGTCACTGATGAAACACCAGAGGACACACACAGGAGAAAGACCCTACGTGTGCCTCACTTGCGGTCGCAGGTTTTCGTGGAGCCACTCTCTCAGCCGACACCGCCGCACACACACACACCGACAGATGTCGATGGGCACGTCAATGGACACGTCGATGGACACGTCGAAAGACAGATTAAGTTTTGAAGGAGCCTCGATGAATCCCACAAGTTGAACAATAGAAGTGAGGATACTTCATCGTCAAACTGTCTCCTGGAGCTTCAGTTAACATAAAGTGTGGTATTTTGTAACGCGCTGAGAAGTGATTTTGAAGCTTTGTGGATACTCACCTCGCAGACTGCCTTATTTTGCACACAAAATATCAGTTAGAGTTCTTAGCACTGGCCTCCAAATTGGATTTTTTACTTCAGTATCTTAGTTGATTCCAGTTGTGTTCTATTAATTGAGTGAAGGCAGAACATGTGGCTATCTATGGACACTGCTGTAGGTTTACATCTTCCTTTCTGACCGATTTGGACTTGTCTTTAGCTTTAGCGTTAGTGTGGAAGAATACCAAAAGATGTGCGACTACCATAGTAGAGTTTCCAAAGACCTCAACCAAACTGATAATGGAAACAATATTGGTAGCATCTCTCCAACTGTATGATGAATAAATAAGTCATTTTGAAGTCTTTGCTCAATCTGAGTACTTATCTGCTTCTATGATAGTGTTTGACTTAATCTGCTGTTATCCTCTACCTCACGTAAACAGCCAGTAGCTCAGAGATTTGTCCAAAAACGTACTTTCTTTTTCCAGTTGTTTTGGAAAATACCAAAAACACTAAAATGCCAAAAAGAACACTTTATTTGTGCTTTATTGTCCTTTTTTTTTAAAGAAAAGGAATATGAAACGTTTTTCTCAGTTTGACTCAATTTGATGTGTATCACACATCTCAAATGTGCTGAACTCTCTTGTGCTGACAAAGATGTGAATTAGACTTGAATGAGCAACTTGTCTCTGTAAAGCTATTGTATAGAAATAACTGTATAGGCAGTAATAAACTGTCTTCAAAACATTTTATACAACATGGCATTTCTTATTATTACTTTATATGACATTTGTTGTGGTGTACTAACCAATTCTGCTACACGTTGCCTTGATGCCTACTAATGAAAACCAAAGTTGCCTTTAAGGGGTTTACTGGAAAATAAACCGTTTATCAGTGTCTTCCTTGGCCAAAGCCACGGTACAGATGTCGTGTGTAGTTGACTTTTTTTATAGAAATACATTGACGTTTTAGTGGTAGATATGTCCCTTTACAACAGCACTAGGGATTGAATAGAAAACAACAATAAATGCAATTTACGTTTTTAATATTTAAATCTCACATTTGTTACATGAGTATATTTCCGAGGGACAGTGAAGGCAACGATGACGTGTCACGACAGCGGCCGATAGGTTCCCAGTGGTTGCCAGGCAACGTTTGGTTTAGTGTAACTTAGCTAACTATTAGACCTGTTTGAAAAAAAACAACGGGAGCTTCTTCTTTTGGGGGGATTTTCTTGACGAAAGTAACTTTAAAGCTATCTTAACACTTTGCTGGAAGTGTAGTTTCTCAGCCATGTCTCTGGAAACACACGGAGTGCCTCAACTTGAGCTAGAGGCCGTTATTGGATTTAACGGTAAGTTTTAACTGACGCTAACGTTAGCTAATTAAGAACGTACTAATAGTTATATAGCTAACTAACGTTAACCTAAGATCAAGACTGTGGCATACATTCTATGCATACATGCTCGACATTTTAAAACAAACATACACCATCACATCGCAAACTTTTTTTTTCTTCTTCTTTTTCCTCAAACACGCTCCATCTCATCTGAAGGTGCCCGGTATGCTAAAGTTACGTTATGTCTCATCAGGTTACGTGTCTTCTGGTCTGAGAGTCGACCCGGACTCAGAGCACCTGATCTACCCTCTGGGCTGCTCGGTTATTCTGAAGAGAATCAAAGGTGGCAAGCAGGAGAGCTTGCATGGGCACTCCAACAACGTGTCCTGTGTTTCAGTGTCCAAAAGTGGGTCCTATATTGCCTCCGGAGAGGTCACCTTCCTGGGCTTCAAGGTAGGAGTAGCTCTATAATTCTTAATCTGCAATGTCTGAACTGAATAATCCAAAACACCAGTAATACACATATATGTATATACAGTATATGTGTATGTGTCATGTATGTTTACATTTGTTTTTTCTCCAGGCTGTGATTATCATCTGGGACTACGCACAGCGAAGTATCTACGCCAAGCTGCAACTCCACAAGGCGAAGATAGAAGCACTCGCCTTCTCCCCCAACGACAAGTACCTGGTATCCCTCGGCGGTCAGGACGATGGCAGGTAAACAACGACGGTCATTAAAGGGTGATGCCGTCCAGAGTAAGCTGCTAGATAGTTGTTACTAAAACAAACAAAAGTCTCCACAGTCTCTCTAGTTTGAAATCTTACTCATAAAATCAGGATTTAAATGACAAAGCTTTTTTTTAGAAAACAAACAATCCAATTGCCATGCACACATTACATTTAGTGACTATTCTCCACAGTTGGACGGAGTTACAGCCAGACGAGTGGTTACTTTAGGGTCTTCATGCAAATCATGACACTTCTCTCAGCATACTATCAGTTTGAAACAGTTAATTAATACAGCACTGTCCTACTGAGTGGTTCTTCGGCGTAAATAAGAGAGAAAATTCTCCATTTGACTAAAAATGTATTATTTATTCATCATTATTTATTCATTTGGTTTTCGGTGTGTCTCCAGGATAGTGGTGTGGAATATTGAGACCAAGCAGGCCATCTGTGGAAGCGCGGCTTCACCCGGGATGGCCGGGGACTGCCTCACTGTGCAGTACTCAAACACAGACGACAACGTCTTTGTTTCTGCCGGGAGGTGAGCGACTGCAGTCTCAAAACCAACCGGAAACATTCTTTTAAGCCTTTATTCTGTATGTCCATACATTTTTTTGTGTATTTTGGTCAGCGGAACATTGAGAGTCTGGGAGCTGGACCGCGCCAACTGTAGAATCCAGCCCACAGAGTGTCAGACAGGGAGGCTGAAGAGGATTGTGAAATGTGTACAGGTACGAGGCCACGGTCTTATATTCACATCCGTGATTTCAGCATATTTAACAAGCCTAACATGTTCAAGTCCATCTGGGCCGTGCCAAATATCTATTGCTGAAAGGAGATAAATGGCGAAAAACTCAACTATTAACCGCCCGTAAACACGCTGCACTACGTTGACAGAGTTTCGGTCATGTTGACGTGTTTATGATATTTCCCAGATCTCAGAGGACGATCAGTTTATTTTCTGTGGCACCACCAGTGGAGACATAATGGAAATCAACCTCAAGATGGGGCGCCTGACCAACTGTGGTCCAACTGAAGGAAAATACAGCATGGTAGGTCGACGAGTCCAACTAAAACAGGCCAGGTCTTCAGCTCTCTCTCTCTCCCCATATACAGTGTATATATATATATATATATATATATATATATATATATATATATATATATATATATATAGAAGAAACTAGAGATTTGATCTTAACTCACAGTTTTTTCTGTTCAGGGTGTCAATGTCCTCAGGATTCTGCAGTGTGGGGATCTGCTCGTGGGTTCTGGATCCGGGATCCTCACTCTTTGTTCCGGGACTAACTTCAAAACTCTTAAGTGAGTCCAACAACTGCATTTTTTCAATCATCCCTGTGAAAAAGATACTTACATTTGGTAACAGTGTGCGAAGTTGTTGTTTTTCTCCATCTACATGATACATAACAATGAATGTCTGGGTTACCGATATGGTGCAAACTCTCTTGCCATTCTTATTTGACAGTGCTCAGTATCAGCTCCTCGCGCCCCCCCCCCCCCCCCCCTCCCTCTTTTCCCAAAATAAGAAGGTCCCGCTGGAAAAGGGTGTCACCTCCCTCGCTATTGGAGGAGAGGGCAAGCAGTTCCTCGTCGGGACGGAGGCCGCCCAGATGTACCGCTTTGGTTGTGACTTTCGAAAGGAACTCATTTCCACCAGCCACAACAGCGCCGTGAAGGACGGACTCATATGTTTGTAAGAGGCACACACGCCATTTCCAGGAGAGGAAGTAAAACAGGCCAAAGCCCATTTATACAGCTTTTGAATTTGGCAAATGATAAACAAGAACATCCTAAATGAATGGACATTGGTGTGATAACAATGAGAATTTTCTCTGGTACCAAAAGCATCCCACGAATAAGAGCATCCTTTGTGTAAGTGGTTGTGTCTCAATTGGGTAAACGTCTTAAAGGCCGTTACTGTAATCTCTAATAATGCCTGACGTCAGTACCACTTTGTGCTCACTAGAGAGCGACATAAGCTTGCCTCATCCATGTCAGCTCTAAGATGACATTCTTTAGGCTTTCTTGACATGTTACAGATACATAGTGAGGTGGTATGATTGATTCCTTACTATATAACCACTCGGTTGATTCACCTGAAGTAGTAATCTAAGGGAAATATAATTCCACCTATCTCTGTTGTTTCTAGTGGAACATCTGAGTTGTTTGCAACCTGCTCTGACGACATCCGGTTGTGGCACAGAGACAATGAGCGGCTGCGCATCATCGTGCCCAACATGACCTGCAACTCCCTGGACATCATGCTCGACGGACACAGCATCATCAGCGGTGGGATTCAGGGAGAGAAATATATATCCGTCCCAAGTCACCTCACAGAACCATCTCAGTGTAATCTGTGTCACACACTTCACACGCTGAATCCCCTCATCCTTTCGTTCATCCCCCTCTTGTAGGGTGGAACGACGGCAAGATCCGCGTGTTCGCGCCGGAAAGCGGCCGGCTCATGCTTATCATTCACGACGCTCACCAGAGGGGCGTGACAGCCATCGCTGGCACCAGGGACTGCAAGAGGATCGTCAGCGGAGGCGGGGATGGACAGGTGAGAAGACGTCGTTCCCCAAAAGGGGCAAGGTCGCATCTTCTCACTGATTGAAAACGCAACACATGGAAATTGTGCCACAAGCATAGCGAGAATGTGACATTTTAGAATGGCAGAAGTCTGAGCCGTGTCTTATTTGGTTGCTTAGTTGCAAATACATTTACCAGATTTCGCATGCAGATGAGCACAGTGGCATACGGCACCATTTAGGAGAGGCGAGAGAAATACTCTCTTCAAAGAATCGATCTCTTGTTGGCATTGAAACAAAGTGAAAAGGGTCTTTTAAATGAAATGTCATATCCGATGACTGATGAAGGCTTTGGGGCTCACCTGCTGTAGGTCCGCATTTGGGAGCTGCTTCCGCACGGCCACCGGCTAGTGGAGACCATGAAAGCGCACACAGCCACCATCAATTGTATCAAGATCAAGAGTGACAGCAAACAGTGCGTCACTGCCAGCGCTGATGGTGCCTGCATCATCTGGGACCTCGTGTGAGTAGCCCATCTGGGTACCCAAACACACACAGGCACACACATCCTCTTCAAACCTTGCTTCCTGTTTTTTGGTAGATGTCATTACAAAGAAACCACTCAGTGGGATTTGTAATGAATTCAATCTCAATTTATATTATGTTTTTCCTAAAACTCCAGAGTTTACTTGAAAAATACTAGTGGAAAGACAGACGTGTTACTGGATTAAGTTCCAGTAATAAAAAGAGGATAATACTATACGTTATAGACGATTACAGTATATAGCCAGTGCACTAGAGAGGAGAGCGTGTGCTGCTTTCGGTTACCCATTGAAATAAGAATAGATTGCTGAAGCACTTCATCGGCGTCTGGCTGGTACAGAGGGAATAAAAAGAAATCCAGTCTATTCTTTATGCTAAATCTTAAAATCCTTTAATCACTGTGTCTTCCTCTGTCGGGGGAATAAAACCTTTAAAAACTCGTCTTGTTTTTTCCCTTTCTTGCCTCTTCATTGAACACGTCTGTGGATTAAAGGCCTCCAGGCTGTATTCATCAAGAGTGGCATAGATTTTCCTTTTTTTTGTATTACTAACTGTTGATGAAAATAATGTTAGTCAGAGAAAACCTTCATTAATCTACGTCCGTCCGTCCTCAGAGGAAGTTGTTCATGCATACTCTTTTTTTTTTGGCAAACTATACAGATGAGATTGTGTGTACTCGGTTTGCCCCGAAAATAAAACATGTTTGGTCCCATTTAAGATGCTATTTTATAAATTCACAACAGCTTTAGGCTAGAAGTCTGAACAGTGAAAACAAAGCTAACAGTGTAAAAAGCGCTAGTTGCGGGCGCTACGTTTCTACAGTGACACCATGGTTGGGGATCGGATACACACACTGAACGGGGTGCGTAAACAAAGCACAGAAATGTTGGATTACAGCACACACAGAGGGGAGAGTGACGTCATTCTCTGCTCAGGAGGACATTACTCTTAAATAGTATCTTCACGGAGCAAACAGCTCTTTGCTGCTGTGTCAGTGCTCTGTATTTCAAATGAAGCACCTTAACACTGCACTCTCCCGATGAGAGGCTCAGTCGGCCTCTTTTCCTTTCATCTGCTGTACCATCGTCTCCTTTTCCTGCTGCAGGCGGTTCTTGAGTCTTCAAATGGTGATGACCAACACACGGCTCCGAGATGTGTGCTACCACCCGGAGGAGTACCAGATCATCACCAGCGGGAGTGACAGAAAGGTATTCAGATCCGTCCTTCAAGTAGAGCTGCTATTATCACTCTTTATGTACATCCCGTTACAGTCTACTAACATACAGTTGGTTGATTATTAATTGCACTGGTATCTAGAAGTGTTAACAAATAGATTCCAGCATTATCGCCTGACAAGGAAAGACCCCCCCCCCCCCCAAAAAAAAAGAAATGTAATAATTTGAATGATTGAAGATGCAGTGGAAAGAGGCCGGCACTCACACAGTCATAACGTGGACTTCTCATTATGCTCTTATATTTATTATAATCTCCACTGAGAGAAAACGGCCTGCAGCTCGACTACAATCAGCATGGAGAGGACTCACACACACTCACACTCACACACGTCGTAAGGACACTGATTAGTTTGAAAAGCTTATAATTTCTTTCTCAGCTGAACATGATTAAGCCGTTGTGTTGGCTCCTCGTCTCAGAGACAAAGCCTGAGTGGTTCTGGATGAACTCGTCACCGAGTGTTTACTCCAGGTCAGGAGTTCACAGATGCAGAAATGGAATGCTTGTTATTCCCCTGATTGTTCGCTTCAGCCGCACCCCTCCAACACCTCGGCCAAGTTGTGCTCAATGATGGAGCGCTGTGGATGTGCTCAGTGAGCAGAGAGAGAGAGAGAGAGATTCAGGGGATTGGGAGTGAGAAGGGAGACATTGAGAGAGAGGAGCGCTGTGGTGTCCGCGGCTTCCTGCGGATGTGCCTGCACCACCCAAGTGGCAGCCAGATCCACCATCTGCTCATCCCCAGACACAGGCGCCCTGTCTGGGGGAGAAAATACCGACGCACTCTCTCTCTCTCTCTCTCTCCAGTTGATTACTGACATTAATACAATTACTACTTTAAATTAGTTTTCTGAAATTGATGTTTAAATATGTGAATACGATTCAGAAATCTGATCACAGAATGAAAAAAATATATATTTGAAGAATATGGCTTTTATAGATACGTATTATACAATAATATACATTTTAAAGACACTACAGGTGAATAGGATCGATACATTTAACAATAGATTTCGCCATGAAACCTCCCCAGTTGGTTGACTTACATTTGGGCAATTTTTTTTTCTGAAACGTTATGTTTAATAAACACGGTCTGTAATTCTAAACTCTGGGGGATTCAGGAGAAATCTACCGAAGCAAACGGACAAAGTTTATTGAAGTTTAGTGAGTTTTGGCCTTCCTGGTTATCAGGTGAGCGTTACCCGCGGCGTAGGCCTGACGTTGCAGACTCACCGTCGCTTTTCGGCATTTGATTAATTTCCTGGTGGCTCATGTTGTGGCGATGAGTAAGTTTCCCGGTCTGAGGTGGAGGGGAGCCCAGATGGGCCGAGACAACTCACACAGGCGGGAGTCTCTATTAAGCTGCCGTAATGAGATAGTGACGGAGGGAGAAGGCATCGGAGGATGGCGCGGGGGAGACGCGGGGGTAGTGTGACAGTGACTTTAATCGTGCACAGAACATTTGGTGAACATGATTTCGTCATTGTTGGCATTTGGAGATGTGCTGCTTTGTTTGTTGTTTTGTCACAAAACCAGACCATAGCTGAATGGATTTGCATAGTCTGCACTGCTGTTAAATGTTGAAGAATTTCATCACTTTACCATGAACAATTTATCCCCTCTGATTTTACGCAAAAGTTAAAAATATATATTTTTGAGGAATATTTACACCAGGAAGCCATTCCGTCAGAGTGCTCGGCCACAGAAAATCGTTTCTGCGGCTGGTGGGGGCCGCTTATTACTTTGAGAATCACTCTGCGGGTCTGAAACTATAAATAAGTCTGAGCCTTTTGTTCCTCTTTCATTCCATAATAACCAACAGCCTTTGATACGCCTGTGTGCGATTACATTTACCCTCCTGTAATGCATTACATGCTCTTGTGCAGAGAAATGAAATCCTACCTCAGAGGCTATTTTTATAAGCGTCTGACTTATTCTGCGCCGTCCTGTGTAACATGAACTTCTACAAAAAGCCCCACCGTTGCAGTGCTGCTTATGAACTGATTTAAATGAATTTAGTCAATAATCATTTCACACTTCTGTGAATGGATCAAATAGATTCTCAGTCTTTAGGTCTGATGTGTAGTGCTTTGAACGCTTGATTGACTTTGAGGTGCAACCTCTTCTGACGGCACTTGACTCGCCCTAGAACGACTTCTGGACTCTAAAACACACAATGTTCGTTAGTATGACCCAGAAGACTGGCGATCAAATCCAATGAGCTTCTTATTTACAGTATTTAACTTCTAATAATGTAACCAGCTCGGTCATATAAATAACAAAAAAGGACCTTTGTTCTCCTGTCATGTTTTTTTTAACTTTTTACACTATAAATAAATAACAATTGCCTTTTGTGAGCGTCGATACTTTGACAGCTATAAAGCTCGGAGGGGTGGGGGGGGGGGGGGGGGGGGGGGGGTGAGGGGGTTGGATGTCATTTGGATCAGTACAAACAGTTTAAATCAATGTGTGTGACTGTGTGACAGAATCTCATCGTAGACCTCATTTCCATCCAGAATACAGATAATACAGCAGTAAAGGTAGTTTGATGTTGCATTTTGCACAATGCCATTATAGGAAACAGTACATCATACGACAATGCAAAAGTATAATAACACAAGCTGTCACCGGCATCATCTGCAGAGTGAGCCAATAGTCTGCCTCCATCAATCTTCTAAACCACTTACTGCCAAAACTCAAACACCGGCAGATACCGAGGGAAAGTAGCATTTAGGATGAGGTAAAGAGACAATATCACTCTCCCTCCCTCTTGAACTGGTGATTATGTGATATGTGGAATGTGTTAACTTCCCTCTCAGGTGGCCTACTGGGACGTGTTTGATGGGACCTTAATCAGAGAGCTGGAGGGCTCGAAGTTCGGGTCCATCAACGGCATGCACATCTCGCAGGACGGCAAGCACTTTGTGACAGGTCCACTGCTTTGTTCCTCCCTCTTTTTTTTCTTTCAATTTGATTCAATATATACATTTATTATACATATATAAAAGTCCTGTTGTACTCAAATACAAACTGAATTAATAGGGTCAAAGGTTTATGATCTGATTGAAATTTGGTGATCAAAAATTTAGGTCACAGCAACTTCACTAAACGCAATTTTCGCCATAACTCAAGGATTCATAATGCTAATTATGTGCATTTCTCACAAATGTTCACTAGGATAAAAGAATGAAGCGATGACACGGTTGTAAACTGCTACTTCCATAAGTGGCAGAGGCCTAAAACCGCAAGGCGCTAATTGTAGTTGCAAATGTAGTTTCATACTGAGTGACTTGCGTTAAAAACTGTACCATGAAAGTAAGGTTTGTGTATGTCGTGGTATCCTTGTGCTTCTTTCCGTCTGTCTTTCTTCACTCCCATATATGATGGAGAGGGTTCTCTTCTCTTTGCAGCCATTGTTTTCATCTCCTCTGACACTACAATGCACGCTCTGCCATAACGTCTCTTAGGTTGTTGACATGTTTTCCACCTCTCCATGGCAGGCGGAGATGACAAGCTGGTAAAGGTGTGGGACTACATGGCAGGTACGGTCACACACGTGGGAATAGCTCACGGTGCCAGCATCACCAGAGTCAAGATCTGCTCCAATAACCGCACCATAATCAGCACCAGCGCAGACGGAGCCATCCTCCGGTGGAGGTTTCCTCATCCTTCTCCCTCTTAATTTGTGGAACACCACATGTGAACTGCCCGGTGCGACTTCTACTCCAGGAACTCCACATTCACACCCAAATGTATCTGACGTTCTTCCTTAATCTATTCTCTTAACAATTGTTATGAGAGTTCAACAGTCTTACATGAAAATAGTTAGTTAATACTAGGACCAAAAAGGAAATAAATGCATTTCATTAAGCATCAGTGACTTTGTAGTGTTTCATTTTCCAACAGGTAAAAGAACGATATAAAAGAAGAATTGAAAATATCACATATTCGCAGGAGTGGAGGCACTTAAGTGGTAATTCCCCACTGGAACCAAATGTATGTGGGAATTCACGGAACGACACTTAAAGTGAGTTTAAAATTACACTTCAAGGTATAAGAAGGTGTTCTTCCCATCAAAGTGTCCACATTACACTTTTCTAGTGACACCCGCTCTGCAAACCGTTTCTCAATGCAGATGAAATCAGAATGTGTAAAAATAAGGCTATACTATTCAGTGCCTCAGATTTCCACAGATATGATTCTGTTTTTGTGGAGACACTGGCTGATATCAGACAGAATTGTTGACTAGATCGAGTGGGCGAAGTGAAAGGTCTGGATGGAGGGAAGCAGGGTGAAGGAGGGGGCCCAGATTCAGTGAGCTGATCTATCAACAGCGGTTCCCCCAGGGATTCCGGTTAAGACCACAGAGAGTTTCCCTGTCTCTGATCCGAACTTCCTCACTATTGTTCAGAGGGTCTAATCTAAATCATTAATATCTCACCCCTGCTTCCCAACAAAAAGTGTCGCGCAAACCAAGCCATCAAAAACATTTATGAATTAGTACAAACAGAAAAAGGGCATCGCTTTTGTGGGACATTGTGGGTCATTTTCTGTAAGGAATTGTGATTCACTTTATTTGCGTGCGCGTTTCCCAACTTTAATGATTGTATTGAAAAATCCTATTTTTCATTGCAATGGGAGCTCGTCAAGTATAAAAGGAGTCCATACTTTGACGTTAATGCGCACAACAAGAAAAAATGTTTTTATTCACACATTTGGGTCAGTTAGGGTCATGTTTAGGTTCAACAACCACACAAATGGCAGAATCACCATCCAACAGATGCCAACCGCATCTTCTTCTGAAGCATTAGCGTCAATCGGGTGATGGTGTAATTAGTCCTACAGGGGGCAGTTTAACGCTGACAGAGATTGTCACACGTGACAAACTGTCAACACAGAAGTTTTCGTCTTTAATGTGTAACGTCGATTTAACAACTTCCTTGTTCCCTGTGCAGCAAACGAGTCTGGTGAGTTTTGCTTGCAGCTTGAGACAGTGAGTACGACTATAAGAAACACTCCACCCAAAGGAAGTCTGTGAATGGGGGCGGTCATTGGAGAGAGAATCCCCCCCAAAACGGAAACTCTTTCACGTTAGGAGAGGAGACGAGAGGGGAGGAAAGGAGAGGAGGGCGCTGACAGCCATCGGTGAGGAAGTGTGATTGAACGTGCCGCGCGCGGAGGGAGGAGGACCCTCGTCTCATCTCGGTTCCCGCGCCGAGCATCGCTTCACGAACCGCGCGCCACTGGGGAATTAACCGGGATGTCACCGGTAATCACGCGCCTTACCGGCGCCGCCTCAGCGGCGAGGCTTGCGGAGAGAAACGTGCAGGAGGAGGGATAGACAGCCGCGGCGGACAGGTGCCACTCCGCAGCCCGTGTCATTTGGGTTGTTTTTGAGGGGGGGGGGTTCTACAAAGTACCAGCGCCATGGATACCCGCAAGGAGAGCAAGGTAAGGAAAGCCTTGAAACCCAAAGCGACGAAGCGAAAACACAAGAAATACAAAACCGGGAGCTTCGGCAGAAAGAAATCGCTGCGATCTTTCGGGAATTTCATGGGGAGGATCCTTAAAACTTTGGGCACTTTGGCGCACTTTGGCGACGCGCAGCCGCCGGGCGCGGAGGAGGAGGAGGACGACGACGGCGGCTTCGGGCCGGGCGACTCGGGGGGTTTCAAAGACGGCGGCGCGCAGGTCGCCCGGGAGGAGGACGCCGCGAAGAAGAGCTCCGCGGCGGCGGCGGCGGCGTCCTCCTCGCGCGGCCCGGTGAAGGGCAGGCTGTCGTGGTGCCACGGCGACAAGACCCCCGGGGTGCTGGGGCTGAAGAACCACGGCAACACCTGCTTCATGAACGCCGTGGTCCAGTGCCTGAGCAACACGGACCTGCTGGCCGAGCACCTCGGCCTGGAGCAGTACAAGTCCGAGGGGGGCCACGGCGGGGCGGACGGGCGGGGGAGAGGCGAGGAGCTGCAGGCCGCCAGGGGAGAGGTGACCGAGCAGCTGGCGTCGCTGGTCCGAGGGCTGTGGACCCTGGAGTACACGCCGCAGGTGTCCGTGGAGTTCAAGGTGAGGCCGCACCGGGGTGTCGCGCGTGTTTGGCGGCGTCGTGTTTTATCACCTGTTCACCGCGAGCTTTTATTTTATCATGTTTTACCCACCTGCCATTGACAAAAATGAGTTATATATGACCTCATAGGAAGATGTTAATGTCCTTATAATAAAGGGAACACGCTTTACCGTTTTACAAATACGAGCTGTATTTCTTTGGTAAATACTCGAAATGCATAAAACATGCGTGGACCCCAGACCCCCAGGGGCCCTGACATACTCCGCCAAGTTAAATAGTGTGTTGATTGATTTCTGGTTATTTTATTAACTGCACATTTGTCTGGGAATGTTCTCCGCTAAAGCTCAATAAAAAAAACAACAACAATGGCACAGGGCCTAAAGGCATTTAAAATCACATTACCTCACAGCTAATTGACACACGGCAGCAGAGAGCTGCGGCCCGGTAGTTTAATTTCCAGCGCCGGTGGGTGTCTGGGTCTCTCTGGGCCCAAATAATGCAGCTGCTGTGAGCGGCCTGCTGCTGTGTGGTCTGCACTCAGCAGGTACTTGGAGAGGACAGGAATATATTCACATTGGGAGGGGACTGGGTGAGGGAGGGGGGGGCAATGGGGGTTCACCCGACCCCTCTGTGAGCTGCTCCTGCAATAAAGACAGGTCATTATCGACACATTTAGATTAGTTCTGCACATTCATCCCAGGGGATCTAAGCGGCACCTTTTAAACACAGTCCCAGTAGGTTTAATGTGTCCCGGGGCCCCCACAGTATGTGTCGAGAGGTGGGTTATGCAAGGTTTATTACACTGAGGACTGAGGAACCAAAATTGGTTCAAGGGGTGGCAGTCTGTGTCCAACGAAGACGCTCGGCTCATGTGTGTCTAGTAAACCACTGACAATAAAAGGTCTTCACCACTTTGCCTCCCAGTTTCAAGCCTTTATTCTTGTTTGTTGAGCTCGCAGTGCAGTTACTGATTACACACAGGGTGCAGCGTCCCCGCCTGACTCGCCATGCCCCGCAACTCAGGTGGTTTGTCTGCATTCCCGCCCTTCCGGGTGACAGCCGGAGCAGGAAGGAGTCCTGGATTCCGGCCTCAGTCATTAACTCTAAAGCCCAGTCACGTGACGTGACAAAATGCAAGTCGTCTCGTCACTGCAGTTGGGAGGCGGTGCTGCAGGTTCCTCTCTGTGCTGGGCACACTCAGTGGTAACGCTCCTGATGCGTCGACAGACGGCCCCCGGGGGGGGAAGTGGTAGAAGAGTGGGAACGCCATAGTTGTCCATATGAATGGGCTATCATTTCGACTTCAATAAAGTTGATACTCTGACAGCGGATTGGATGGAGATTGCTCCTCATCCTCAACTACAAATTAGTGATGAAGTAAGAATGAGTGCAGTTCGTCCCGTAGGTGTAAAGGGAGAGGTGGTGAAGGTGATGAACTATTATCAAGAAGAAGATGCTGCTGTTTGGATCTGAAAGAATTACTCCGGATGTTATCGACCATGCGATATGAAATAAGCAGATTTTTCAAACAGAGGTTCAACTTCTAACTAACGACTATGTACCTTGCGTGGAAGTCCTACTAATGTCGGATCGCCAAAATAGCAGACATTCTTGGGGGAGGTGGGGGGCTCCTTGATATGACGGTAGGGTAACACTGCTGCCTGTGTCGTATTTTTCCGCATTGGCCACTTTTCACAAGTGATGGTTGCTGCCGTGTTTCCTAAAAAAGTGAGTCATGGGACCTGGTTATTGGACAGCAAGGAGGATGAGTAAAGAGTCATTTCTGGATAGTTGGCCTCTACTAACTCATTTTAATTCCTGTAACCGCTGAATTTGAAGCCAGGCCGGCACAGAGCGTGTTACCAAATGCTTACAAATGACAGCGATCGGCCCAATGGGAGTGCTGCATTGAAAGGTCGCCATTTCCAACTCTGCCACAACCGCTTCACTGCACATTTGACATTGATCAAATCTGGAGGGATGAAGTGTCCTTTTATTGGTGCCTCCAAAAGTTGTCTACATCAATTTGACTCGACGGCGGAGCCGAGCTCGTTCTTTCCCGACCGCCTCACACTCCCGACCGAAAGGATTTAACGACGCAGTAACTCCTTTTTTTTTTTTTTGCACGGATGCACTTTTTGTGTCTTTTTTATTTATTTTTCTATTGTTACGCTTGACATGGCACGCAGCTCCGTGAGGCCCGTTGTTTCCTGTTGGTTATGGGGAGCGCCGGCCGAACAGCGAGACTAATGGTTTGTTGTTCTTCACTTGTCTCTGCGCCCTCTTCATGCTCACTCTGGGTGCTGAAGATGTAGAACTTTAACACACACACACACACACACACACACACTGCTGTAGGGGAGACACACACTACTTGGCCTCCTTAAAACGCACAGACATAAGAATGAGCGTATTTTATAGCCACACTTGTACAGCGGGATCTTCATGCTTTGAGCACCTCGCAGTGTGTCTGTGTTTACAGCGCCACGGCACCACCAAGTTTATTATCCATCCTGTGATTAATGTGCCAAGCCTGAACAGCTCTCCGCAGGAAGCCAACCACTCAACCCTTAGCGTCGTGGGTTTTGATTTTGCGATCGTGGGTTTGCGTTCACGCGACCCTTGATGGTGACAGACGCAGCTTCCCAGACTGTCAGTTGTGCGCGCGGCAAAAAACAAACCCCAAAAAAAGAACTCTACGGCCTCGACTGTGAATCCTCAGAATGAATTTCTCTGTTTCAAACGAGCCTGTAAAGGAAACGGGAGGCGATTATTTCCATCGCATCTCTTCCCCCTCATGTACTCACGGATCACCTGAAAATCCCACGTCTGCTTTTTCCGTTTTGACCTGCTGGCAAAGGATTTCTGAGCTGCTCACCGCCGCAGAGGAGACATAAGGTCCGATCTGAAGGCCCGGAGACGAGGCATTCAGATTTGTCTCAAAGAGAGAACAAATAATACCTTCCTGTTCTCTGTTGTGCTGGAGGCAAATACAGAGTTGCAGCGGGCGAGTGTTTGGTGTTTGTGCGCCCAGCTGATTCCATTAGGGAACGGTTCTCTCACGATACAAAGGAAAGAAATTTGTCAGCATCCTACTCGGTCGGAGAAATCCATCCAGGCCTGATGGGATGCTGGACCCCGACGAACCATTTGGCTGATGTCTGTTTGGAAGCAGGTTCCTGGCCTCCGCCGGCACTCTGATCCGTCATTGTTTACAGAGCAGGAAGATGGATTGGGGGGGTTGGATGGGTGCGAGGGAGGCGAGACGGGGGACGCCAAAGCAGAGATGTCCGGGTCGCTGAAGCAAGGGGGGGATGTTGCCGGCGCGCGGCCATCTTATCTCCGCCGAGCACTGGGAGGTCATGACCTCTGCCTCGGAGACCACCATGTGGTTTAACGTCTATCTTTTGTCTTATATTATCTATACAAGCTTTTAATTTGCAAACAGGCGAGTCGACTGTGGTTTTTCCGTTTTTGTATTATTTTCTATTTCGTAAAACATTCTGTTACACAATCAATTGCTATTAAATTTTTTTTTCCAGTTCATTGCTGCACATGCTTTGATCTAATGAAAAGAAATGTGAAACAGCTTTCTTCAAGCCGAGGTGACTTCAGATGTGGGTTGAGAATTGAATCCTCGGTCTAGACTAATCAATAGTTTCTTAGGAAGAACAACTTAAGTTGACCGCTAACGCCTTCCTTTATCCTCTGGAGTGTTTGTTCAACGTAAGATCCCACCTGAGCTCTGACGAAACAAATACTCTCTCTCTTTTTTACACACACACACACACACACACGAGCGCTGAAACAGTCAGAAAACAGCAGATGAGGCGCTGAGGTCACTTCTTAATGAATCTGCAACCTCTTCAGTCATCAGGCGTCTGAGTCTCAACTCACCGTAACCGTGGCAACTATCTTTGCCTTGGTGTTTTTGCCCCCCTTATGTGCGTGTGTATATTCTCACTTTTTACCACAACAGCGTTTTCCTTGAGGAAAAGACAAAAAAACGTCCTGTTGTAAACTCTCCCACCGTCCTCTCCCTCCCTCCCTGCCTCTCTCCATCTGCCCCCCATTCCTCCATCCTCCCTGTCAGCGCTCCCTCACAGGGATGAAGCTCATTAGCGGGCTGTCAGGTGAAGCACCCCCCCCCCTCTCCTGTGTTTATATTTAGACGCTGCAGGTATGATGTGGTGGTTTGTTCTTCCACACCGAGCTGTGGAGAGCGCAAAGGGAAAAGGGAGAGCGACGGAGAGAAGTAGCCATCACTTTTTTTTTTACGTGTCGATACCTGTCTCTCTCTCTCTCTCTCTCTCTCTCTCTCGCCTAAACCCACAACTCCCTCCTCATAATTTAATTAGACAGCCTGTTTATTTTCAGCACACCTGCCGTGGTGATGAGGACGGTCTGATTTGTGTTTACTGGTGCCGCTCAGTAAATGTGGATTTGGAACGAGTTAGTTTCAAGAAAACACAGGTCTTTTGTTTCTGAACACACACACACACACACACACACACACACACACACACACACACACACACACACACACACACACACACACACACACACACACACACACACGCACACACAGCTTTACTTTAGTTCAGGTCAGTTTAACGGTCTTCGGCACCTTTTAGACCAAATCTCAATCTGATTGGGGACATTTTTGTTTGCTCCTTTGCTCACTTTCCTTCTGAAATGTGATGTTCTTGCCAGCATCCAGAGAATTGGCAGTGACTTTTTACATGATCTTACCAGAGCCGGCAGATGTTCCTAAATGAGTCTGCATTTAGTGACGATAAGAAAAATGTCCTTGCCTGTTTTTTCTTTTTTCCCTCCATGTCTCTCCAACTCCAACTTACAAACGATCGGTTCCTGTGTTCCGTGTGAACTTGAATTCTTCTGATCTTTCCCCTGCAGAGCATCGTGGCCAAGTACGGCTCTCAGTTTCGGGGAAACTCTCAGCACGACGCCCTGGAGTTCCTCCTCTGGCTTTTGGACCGAGTTCACGAAGACGCCAATCACAGCCCCAACAACAACAACAACAGCAGCCACAAGACCAAAGCCTCCGTCAAGGTGAGCCAGTAATGAATGTGTCAGTAATGAAACATGTTGAAAGTTGCTTCAGCTGCTTCACAAGGTCTCTTACCTCGAGCGCAGGTGTTTTTCCCCCCTTTTTTCTTTCTTTCATAATATGAAGAGAAGCGTTATCAGAGAAAGATTATCTGTCCAGCGACGGGTTAATGTACAGGATTACAGCAGCAGAGCGGATAAAGTGCACACAGACAGTCAAACAAGTTCAAAACAGTCACAAACACCCAGGTACTTCTAAGATTTTACAATGTCAATGTCCATTCCCTGGATGTCCCCTGGATGTTCTCTGGTTCCGGAGGAGATTGTTTGTCTCGGCTCAAGTCCAGCACCAGTTCTTTGGTTTTACCGCAGTTGATCTGGTTCAATCCTAAAACGCCCTGGTTCAGTTCCCAGTAATAAGTAATAAGCCACCTTTTAGTCCTTTAGAAGCAGGGATGTGTATGATTTCCTTCTTAGTTGGATCTCCGGAACAAACTCCCCCTGATTCAGTTACACTTCTTTTCTGCACTGCACAAACTGCCAAGCGTCATAAGCCAACCAGATTTGTCTGAGATGCATTCATTTATCAGACGGATTGAGAGAAATGCACATTGTACAACAACAGCTATTGCACTTTGGATTTTTGGAACAGTATTTATAATCGTAAATTGTAAAATAACTCTTACGTAATGAAAAAAGCTTTCCAAACGGGAAGTCCATCGTTTTACTGTGTCTGCTTTCTTGAACATAATCAGCCAACACATATATATAATATAAAAAGAAGTAAACTGCAGACGTATGGGGGAAAAGGAGTGGGCCCTTTAATTGGTCTGCGGCGGTTTCACCGATATAAACTTTTGTATGTTTTGTAAACTGAATGTTCAATCCTACGGTTTGGTTTCTTTGGGCACACATTGAGCACCGGACGAGGAGCCTTGCAGTCCTCGTTGGTGGATGATTACTGCCGTGAGCCGGCTCGCCCTCTCTGACAGCAGCGCTAATAGAGCCTTTTGTGCGCCGTTACACAGCTTACGACCGCCGATCTCATTAGGATGCCAGTGAGTCGAGGTCTTTGCAAAGCCGGCTTCCCCACCGGAGAAGAAGAAAATAACACCAGGAGGGCAACATTTCTGATTTTCTAAATTGAAACCTGAAACGGTCGTCCGCCTTCCCCTAAATTGATTTTCGTTCATGTGGCTCAGTGCGCTGGTGCTCTGGCTGCCTGTGTAACGTGAAGCGCGTTGGACCTCAGAGATAACATGCTCCTCCGTTTGTGTGGGAGACGTTCCCAAAATACCGCTGGATTAAAAACACAAACGGTAATGTGCAAAGGAGGTATGTTGTTAACTGGCAAAGCCTCCAGTGTGGCTCCGTACGCTTCATTAATAAATCATGGAATCTCATTAATATAATAAGAATAAGAATAATAAGAGTCAAGCGTCTCCATCCACGCCGCGGCTCTCGTGTGCTCTTTCTATTTCGTTCTTGCTTATTAGAGTCCATTAAATGAACAGTAAATATATGTCTATAATTCAATTGTAGAATTGTAAAATCCCATTAATTTGCGGCTTTAATCTCAGAGAGAGAGAAAATGAGAGAATACACATTTTTTTCCCTCCCTTAAAGGAAAACTTCAATCTTAAAAAGTGGCTTTGATCGCTTTGTCCGTCACCGCACACTGGGAACTATTTCGATCACGGCGAGCTGGCAGAAAGCCCAACGGTGACGTCAATTTTCACAGACGTTTCACGTAGAGCAGCTAAAATACAGGTAGATTCCACAGAGTTGAAAGTTAAGTAATAAACAACAGCGGTGACGCACATTTGAATGTGTTGGGGAACTTTGTGTTTCCTGACGTGTATGATGTGCGTTTTATGATGATTTATTTTCCCTCCGTCGCCTTTTCCCTCGCTCAAACACGTCAATTCAGTGCCTGACTTAAGTTGACTTTACCGACAGCGCACCTGTCATGTATTCTGCTAACAGCTCGGGGAGAGCAGCTCCTCGCGCTACGTTGGCATCCTTACATCCGGTGCATTACATGCCACTTTGTCACGCTTTTTGACAGCCTTCTGTTCTGTTTTCGGTCTCATTCTTATTCCTGCCGTGATTTATCCTCTTGGGGTGTGGTACCATTCTCAAGGAAGGAAGGAAAATAACTACTATCCTTGCAAAGTAACTACACCTTTTGCGGTTGTGTTTAACAATTTTACTGACGGCTTTAATTGTTGAGAAAACAAACATCTGCTGCGTATTTGAACATAAAGATTCCCACTTTTAGGTGTGTTTATAGGTCCCTCACACAGGCCAAGGATGAGTACAGGTTGATAGGACACTATAAATGATATTACTCCATTTGGATTACTATTATTAAGACTCAAAGAGTTCATGTTTCAAAAGCATCTTTACAAACAAATCAAAGGCACCTCAGTGCTTGACAAATGCTGAAAAAAGGAGAGAAGATGACAAGGCTAAGAACCAAGTGCAGAAAAAAGAATATGCTAAATTTAACTAATTGATTAGATTAGATAAAGAAAGTCAACTTTAGCTAAATATAGTCACAACAACAACAACAAAGAAGTATGGATGCATAAAGAAAACAAAGAAGAACTGGTTTGTGCAGCACACCTGCTGCGTGAGCAGTCTGACCTGTCCGGCAGCTTCCACCCGAGCGATTACGTAACACGAGGCTGTGAGCACACACAAAGGCAGCTGAGTTATGTTAATCCTCCTTCCAGCGGGACCTCGCTGAGCTCCCTCTGTTCCCCTCTCGCCTGGCTGGCACCGCGGCGGCGACGCATTCCTCGCCGGCTGCCAGAGACAACCCGACCCGCTGTGGAGTCATAGCTTTGTGCAACAACGGCTTCTCCAGCCGTCGCTCTCTTCCCCTCGATGTCAGCAATGTTGTCACAAGCGTTGACCAGCGTCTCTGCTTTTTCGCCTTGCAGCAAGAACAAGGGAGGCTACTGCTTTAGCTGGAAGATGGGAGACGCCCGTTTCTGATCCAGTTCTGCCGCTGCCTTTGAGTCGGGCAGATTGTCAGAAGCACACCGCCAACCGCTGCATATGTATATAGACCTTTAAGGCCTCAGCAGTTCAAAATCTGATTGGAGCGGTGAAACAATGCTGATCTCAAACCAACTTACTCCAGCTTGCCTGCAGATGGTGGCATACGTTTCCCCAGCGTTCGTGGCGTGAGCTCACTGAGCGCAGCTACGTTCTGCCCCGGGCACTCGAAGCGAGAGCATTGTAGTAAAACCGCTGCACTTTGCCCGCGGAGAGCAGCGGGACAGCAGGTCCGCGGATGCAACACCAGGGCCAAATCATCAGGCATGCATTATTCCATTTTCAACCGTTGAAAGTGGTCGGCTTTTCTGCCGAGGGGGGTCGACCGTGGAGGGAGAGAAAGAAGTGTGGGGGGGGGGGGAGTAAAAAAAATCCCCTTTGTACCCCTGAGCCAACTGCACAGACTTTGAAATCGGCGTCAAGCGCGCAAGCTTTTGTATCGACAAGGACAGAAATCGTGAGTTTGATGGTTCTCCTGTCTCATTATGTCCATGTTGGGTTTTAAATGACAGCCCCCCCTGTCACCGTCAGCCAGGGGTCCTTCATCTGCTGCCTCCCGTTCCTGTGTCAATCATCACGGCCCTGGACATCACAGGCACCCTCTTATTCTATGATCCATAGACGTACAGTCCTCTACGTTTTGAGAGTGGGGCAACAGCTGGAAATCAGGCGGCAACCTCCGTTTCTGACGAGTTTAAGACACTTCCAATGCAGAAGTGTCTCTGGTGAAAAATAACTTCTTAGTTTGGGTTAGAGTCATTTATTTCCCCAGTAAACACTGCGTCACGCAGTGTCACGCGTCTGTTTGTAGCTTTGCGTCGCTGGCTTCCATTGCAAATGACTCGTAGTCAGAGATGATGGGGTCGTGTGTATAAAACGTCCGTGGCCCTGCTTCTTCTTCGGAGCAGGAAACTGCAACACACTTGTTGAAAGAAATGCAAAAGTTTCATAAATATTCCATGCTTGATGAATAATGAATAGCTCCCCAGAAAGTCAAGAGGCGGTTGTTAATATTTTACACACAAAATCAGATCATTTGTCAGATTTTTAAAGAACGGCTTTGAACTCATTCAGAACTTTCATTTGCAAGAAAAGTTTAATGTTAATATTCAAAGTATTAGCAATTTGGGGTGCAGAGGAAGGCATCACACACCCACAGATGCGTGTCTGCGGTCGCACCACAAAAACACCACCCAGAGCAGGTGGGCCCGCAGGCTGGGTGACGTAGTGACTCCTCGGCAGTGGCTGACCGCTAACTTGCTAGCAGACTCTGTCAGGCTTGTATTTTTTAAACTCGCTCTAGGAGGTTTTTGCTTTTTCTGAAAAAAAAAAGAGGGCAGGCGATAGATTATGTGCTGTAACAGGATGGCACAGAGGAAAGTGAATAAATGGCAGCACAGCAGTCAAGAGGCAGAGGGTGCCTTCGGAGATATTTTAAACAATCAATCCGAGAAACAAAATCAATCACTCCAGTAATTCCAGCAGCCAGCAAAACCTAAACACAACTTAAGCGCCCTGGGCCGCTATCCGGTTTACCAAGGTCCTCTCCCCAAACTGTCTTCTCATCTTCCTTATGTAGCCCCTTGACGACATCAGGTCCAGGTGTGTCTCCTGGCACACCTGATCTCGATGAGTTCAATTTCTGACGCTCGTTTAGGTGGCCGACCTTCCGAATATATAATACAGTACGCTCCCCTTTTCGAAAGGGCATCTGGGCAGATAAGTAATGTGTTTTTTTACATTGTCTGTTACTTTTAACACTTAATTACTTTTTCATTTTAATGTTCCCAAGCCCTTAACCCTAATAATGTAATTGCTTTTTTGTAATTTTAAATTTATTGATCAAATTTTCTGCTTACTGTATGTTTTGGGAAAACAAATTGCGCAAAACTTAATTTTGTTTTAGTTTTTTCTCCTTCTTTGACTGAGTACAGTAA